CCCACTTGACACCTTAAATAAATAAATCATGATAATATCTGCAATATTGCTTATACTAAGAAAAAGACTTGTGCATGTTACCTTCACACCACTAACAAGTCACCATGACAATATGATAACTGAGGAGTTGGTCTAGATGTATTGTGTTGCATATATTCTCAGCTGAAATTAGTTCTGAAACTGATGTGCGGTACCTGACTGACGCTGGTCCCGTACCAGCTGTAAGAAGCTTCTACACAATTGAGTGAATTTTGGAGTAGACTTGGCTCCTATTTTCAAAGGTACCAATAAAGACTATAATAACCATTTCATTACTGCATTTGATCAGCAAGCAAACCTCCATGACCTGAACCCCTCAGAGTAAGTTTCCTGTATTACCCAAAATTTATATTTTTTATTAGGTTGTAAACCAGAAAAAATATCAGCTGCAAAAGTGGTTATAATATCTGATCCCGTGAGTAATAAATCTATAACCAACTGCAACACGCATATTGGTTTGGCCTCAGTAGGATACGGACACAGAACCTAGTTGTTTTAATCTAGATTATGCTAAAATATTGCTTAAAAAATATGAAAACATTTTTAAAAATCCATTAATTCTATAAATATTCCCATAAATTCTTCTATGTTTTGAATCATTCTCTAACTATTTAAGGTGACTACCATATGATCCCTCTCTTATTCTTTACTATGTGCCAGCCGGATGCTAGGTCTGCTATTGCCGATTCTAACCTTTGGTTAGCACTAGCTCACATTGAACTTACCTGCTCTTCATGGGCGTAGGTTTGCATAGGGACCATAGGGACATGTCCCTACCAAAATTTTGAACCGACCTAATTGTCCCTACCAATAATTGGATGTGAGCAACATGTTTAAAATTTACAGCAGTAGTTGTTGCAGCTGTGGCTTCTTTTCCTCTCGCAGCTCCTCTGCCTGGTCTCTCCTGTCCCTTTCATGTAGTAGCGCATGGAACTGTGCTGCGCTGTTTAACTCAACTCTCATTGGTTGTTCTGCCTTAAGTTCCGCCTTCTCTCTCTCTGATTGGCTGTTTTCTAGTCCGCGTGTGCTTGGAGCGCAACATTGAAAATGTGTTCACACTAGAATGCAGCGGTTACTACAATTAATATTAGGCTACAAAACCAGTCCCAATAAAAAAATTGAATATCATGTACACTAAAAAACAAAAACCTTTTTTTTTCTTTTATAAAACGAAATATTCTGAGTCAGCCAGGAGTTCGGAAGACTGCTGGAAAAATGGGCAAAAAAAGGCTGTAAGCCATCAACATTTCTGATTCTTAGCCACATCCAACTAAAAGAGAAAATGTGAGGGTTTCCTTTTTACCGATATTTAGTTGATATTACTGTTTTCATTTTTTTGTTTCTATTTTTACAGTTTTGATATAATAACTGATCTAAGTGGGTTGCTCTGTGGGGAAAGGCACATTTTACATTTATATTACTGTATGTTTTAAAGTCTCTATTCTCCAGTTAATGATGAATCACTTACTAAATTAGTTGACGATTATTGAAATAATCAATTAATATGATTCATTTTTTCAGCCCCAGATGAAATACATGAAATGGGCTACACAGAGTAACTACAGCCCAGATGTTCAACTTTTATAGTGAAGTTAATATTTTAATGAATGTATTATTTTGCTTGGTTCAGAGAGAGCATAGTAAGTAAAAATATTAGAGTGGGGTTTAACTCTGCACAATTCTATATCTTCAAAAGAAAATACTGTATTTACCTTCTCTCTTAGTCGTTCAAATGAAACCGTTTTCAAAGTGGAAAACAGTCCTAATTCCACATTCATCACAGCTGGTGATACTTCAAACATTGATAAACAGCATCTAATGAGTGTAGAGCTTATAACATTTTTATTAATGGAGCAAAATGTTGCTTTTCTCTTTTAACAATGAATTCCTCTTATCAGTATGGATGCTCACATCGAGCATAAAAAAGGGCATGCATATTGCATAGCACCAATGACACCAGACCAATAGTGTCCCTACCAAAGTTCAAATCAAACCTACGCCCTTGCTGCTCTTACATCGGAACAATTCAATTCAGTGTATTCATATAGCACCAAATACATGTCATCTCAAGGCACTTTACAGGGACATTTCAACCAGATCCTGCAGTCAGATTGGTTCAAAATGTTCTATCAAAGGAAAACCATCCGATTGCAAGGACTCATTTACTCGAAATTAATCCCTCGCACCAAGCATGATCGTAGCGACAGTGGAGAGGAAAAACTCTCCTTTAACAGGAAGAAACCTCAAGCAAAAACGTAAACCAAAGAAGTTATTGATTAGCTCTATCATAGATCTATCATGTGAGCTTAAAACCACTTTTCCCATAGGTGCAGAAGCCTTTATGTTGGCATTAGTAACAAATGGAAATATTTACATGTATATAATAGACTTGTCAAAAATGTACAAAGCAATGATTTATATACTATTTTCTTTTTCAATGAAATAAGTATTTTTATTCTGCACCACTACAGATGTTCATTGGACGGATGTCTTTTTTTTAAATTGTTGTTTCAATGAAAAATTTGTAGCCATAGTTTGTGTCGGTTGGTTTTCACACTGTAATTTTAAACTGATGAAAAGTTTACTTCAGACCTGGTCTGAAGTAACTGGCCAGATGTAAATCTGATAAAGTTTCTGTGAAGAGAGGTAAAGATTATGGTGATGGGGAAGAGACCTTTCAATCTCTAAGGATTATACGCAACCTAATGCACTTATTTCTACCTTTTAATGAGAAGATTATAATTAACATGCTGTACAAAAAAATCTGAAAATTTAAATATAAATATATGTATAGTAATTGATGCTCTACTACTGTATTATATTCTGAGTGATGATCACGTGTAGACAGAATCAAACCATTTCGTTAAATGAGGCAACATTTAAGAACCAATCTGCCAGGTTTATAAAGAGCTGTCTGAAATATCATCTGTTGTGGAATTTTACTCTGTTAGTGCGAAATATAATTCAAGCAAAAGCTCCAATTAAAAAAAAAACTTTAAGGATGGGAATGACACTTTAAACACATGAGTTAATCCTTCCTACCTGCTTACTAAATGACAAAATGTAGCCCGATGAGGTAAATTCATTGGCCTGACCTCTCAGATTCAACATCGATTTTTTTACGCTGTTTTCAATTGCCACCCTCATTAAGAAGCAACTGAACGAGTGATTGTTAAGCTGCTCCTTTAAGGCCATTCTCCCAGAAATAAAGTACCCTAACAAAAATATCCCTTCGTTTTCAGAAGCACATTCTGTTGTTGAGATCTGAAGAAACAGGCATTTCCTCATGAGACCCCCAGCAGCATTAAAATAGAGCTTTACTCAGCCCAATTAGGACTTGTGGAAATCAGGCTAATGGTTAAGCAGGGTGGGCTGTCTTTGTTTCGCCCTCCAACATTCTCACAACCTTGAAATTGAATTTACAGTAATCTGTGTTGAACATTATACATTTTATAATCTGTCTCTATATATAGGTATAAACCTTTTGCCTTTAATCCCCAACGTTTGGTAGATTTATCTAAAGATCTTAATATCTCCATCCATCTGTCACCCTTAGATATACATTCATCAGCCTTTAATTTTTATTCCCTACTCAACAGTATTCATTATTTAAGGTGAAACATGATGCTTTTTCTCAGCATCTCCTCTTCCCTTCCTCTCATTATATTTTTAAACCTAATCCCCCCTCCTTTTGGACAGAACTGTTTCACCCTAACGGAGGTAACAGAAATGTAATTCTATTTGTATGTTATTGTGTTGTGATGTTCAGCAGGAAGAAGCTTGATAAGATTTTTTTTCCCGCCTTCATTCAGGCCAGAGGAGCTCTTTTTGATTTGATTTGAGAGAAACAAAACAAGGAGGGAAAGCAGAACTGAAGGAGGGCAAGGGCTTCAGCAGTCAGCTCTTTCAGGAATCTGTGGACTCGACGGTCCGTGTCGAACTGAAGTGTCGACTCCACTTGTATGTCCAAGCATATCATTAGGGAGACATCTTTTGTTGCAGTCAGTCACTGCCCTCTTATGAAGAGTGAAAGAGGAACCGCTTGATGTTTGTATGTCAGCTCGTTTTACCTTTGAACACACATTTTAACGTGCTGTTTGACGTTTATGTCTGTTATGCAATAAAGGTATGAGTTATGAACCAGGTTTTGATGCCAAAGGCTGTCAGCCCGCTAAAAAAAAAAAATCAATTAAGGCTTTTTGCATAAGAACTGTATGTGGCCGACGCACAGTGCCTTATTTTCCTGCTTTGATTCTAAATTCAGAGCAGATTCTGATGTAACCACTGAATCGCAGCCAATGAGGAAGGAGAGTTCAGCATGATTCAGAAAAACCAAAGCAGGATATGGGAGATAATGCCACTCATCAAGTTCTGAACCAAGTGCCACAGCACCACCTCTTGGTCATTGAGGTCTTTACTCTTTGTAGTCAAAGTTTTGTGAATTTATAAAGCTTTTTTTTTTTATGTTGTTTGGAATTCCCCATTGTTTTTATTTCTTTTTAAGAATGAAATTCTTTTGTATTCTGACTTCCTCAAAAATGTTTAATAATTACTAGTTTTGTACTCAAGGCCTGTTGGAAACTGATTCTGCCATTTGGAACAATAAATGATCGTGATGTTTGAACTGGGAGAACATTCCAGCTTCATGGCCAAGATTTGAGCAGTTTCTACCTGCAAACACCTGCACTGCTATGCAGCCAACAATGTCGAATTAGATGCACATAATTTCAGTTTTTTTGTTTTTGTTTTAAGAGATCTTCTAGAAGAGTTGATGAAGATAATAGACTCTTAAATTTAAGAGGATTGCGGCAACTCACTAAAGTTACAACTCAGAGATTTCAGTCCAATCTGAGTGTCCTAATAGTAAAATATGACAGATAGGGTAATACAGTAACTTTCTACTGCTTATTTTTTCTTGCTCTCTATTAAATCAGTTTTTTTCACTCTCATTTTTCTTTTAGATTCAACAAAATACAGAACACAAAGAACACAATGAAGAAGGATGGCATCAGTTCCTTGACCTATAAACTGGTTCAGGTGAAGAAGTATCCCATGTACACGAACATCTCTGTGGAGATCGGCAAGCCACCGCCTCGACCCATCAAAGGCTCAAGAGAATAAGAGAGAGACGTTTATTAAGTTGATGGGGTTCACGTCAAGAGGGGAGAGACGAAAAGAAGATCTGACTTTCTCTCTTTTTTTCCCCTCTGTTTAATCGTTTGAGATTTCAGCTCGACTTTTCATATGTTTTTTAGGGCTTAGGCTTTCTCCAATTAAGAATGCTAGCTGCTGCCTGGTAACAGTCAGTGGAAGTAAAAAACAACATTTTGGAGGAACATCATCAACTGACTGATGGGTTGTTTTCAAACTTGAGAGTCGTTCCGCGAACAATCATCTGTAAAGTGGAGGAATCCTTCAACATATCGACCAGAACACAAAATATGGATGTTCTAAAACACCTTGGTCTGTTCTGGAAATCTACACAAAATGACTCTGTATCACTTTACATAAAACAAAACTTCTGTTGAGCGGGATTCTTGACTACGTCAAAGTGATGCAGCTTCCAGTTGGGAAATATTACATTTCTGAAGACATACAGAGATTTTCTGCAGGTCATTGTTTAAAATACCACTGGGACATGAACATGAAGTGGTTCGGATGGTTTTCAGAATCCCTGTGACATCCTCTTGTCTTGATGGAAGACAGGTTCCTGTTGAGATTTGGAGTTTCCAGCCTTGATCTCCGAACTCATTCGCTCTGTCAATGAATGTTTAACATGCCTGCATCTGCAGCAGGAGACTCAAGTAAACAGAGCAGTAAAGAAACCCTGGGGGGGAAAAATCCTCCTTTTTTTCTCTCTTCTTTTATACATTTCTGAACTTTAAAACAGAACTGGATTTTTGTAACAAACGATACCATGATATGAAATGTTTTCTTTAGTTTGCAGCACGGTGTAAGTCCGGCGAAAGGGCATTTTAAATGGAGAAAGTGAAAACATACCGACAGCTCGGTTATCAGCTCCAACTTTCATTTTACTTTTTGATATTTTTCTCTTCATGCCTTACTGCTGTTTTAATAGGGTTACCAATTCTCTAAAGGTGCACTACAATCAAAGTCTTGATTCCAAAATCAAGGTGAAAACCAAGCTGTCAAGTTATGTTTTATAGTTATGTAGCATTAAAGTCGAAAAGACTGGCTTGTCAATCCTTTACACAGGCAGAACTAAATGAAACGGAGCGTCTTGTTGTTATTTTACTACACTATAGCCATGTGGTCTTTTTACACAAATATCATGAAATCTATATCAATAGTGTTTTAAGTCACTTTTGTCTCTCCTATGTTTTACATTCAGTCATTAAGAAATCAAAATGGAATGGAGCAAATTAAAAGAGACATAGAACTTCTAAGAGTGAAAGTTTTTGCAAAAGTGTAAAACCTTCCACTCATCTTCAACAATTACAAACTTCATGTAATTTATTGTTCTCTTATGTTAGAGAGGAAAAAAGTTTCTGTGATATTTCTTTGCTTATTTGATAACAAAACCCTGAAAACTGGTGTGCATTTGAAATTAGCCTCTCTTAACCTGATACCTGTAAATTAAATCTAGTCCAACAAGAAGAGAGCTAATTATTATAGACACTTCTGTAATTTTGTATCTTGGTTTAAAAGCGGTGGTTCTCTGAAGGCTTCAGAGTTTTCCTGAAGCTCCAACTAATGGAGCACTAATTAACCAATCAGCTGTCCCCCTAAAATGACCATTTGGGAAAGAAGGGAACCAATCAGTTCTTGGTAACTCTGGAGAATTGCATCAAGCTGTGGGAGGCAAACCAAATCATGTGGAAAAGGATTTTCAAATTAAAAGCTTTCCGATTTACAATGGTACAGAATATAATTGCACTCCGCACTTTTCAGATTTTTAATATCTTCAATAACAATTATGGAGATAGCATACTAATCTCAACAAAAAACTTAAAAGTTGTTGAGTGTAAAGGGACTAAAGGTTTAATTGGTCTGTGTTGATCTGCGAGGAAATGTTTCAACCGGCTGAGCTTTCTGTCTGTGACTTTTCTGGATCTCACCATATTCAGCATCATCAATTATACTGCTGTCCGTCCTATTTTACATTCCAATCTTGTTTTAGAAGTTAATTACTTTGAGACATTTTATCTCATTAATTTGTACACCTTAAGACATTAAGTAGCATAAGTTTAATCATTTTAAATGTCTAAATGATATTTTGTTTTCTCTCCTGTCAACACTTTAGAGCTTTTGACAGCTTTGTCTGTTTATTTCTGTTCATCCCTTAATTCTTACAGCCCAAATGTATGTCCTGAGAAGAAATCTTCACTCATTTGATGGTAAGACCTGGGAAAAAGAAAAAGTCATGAAGTTATAAACTTAAAAGGTTGGAGTGATTTCGCCTAACCGTTGCTTTAAATGGCTTCACCTCTTTGGTCAGCCTTGAGGCAGAGTAGGTTTCATTCTGCTTGGCTCCTTGCCTCAAGCCTGCATGGTGGATGGTATAATTAATCCTCTCCGAAGAAAACACAATCACACACACTCAAACCATCAGCCTCCTTTATGTATTATTTCCCTTCTCGCTGCCTTTCCATTCTTACTCTGCCAGTCTGGGCTGTATTGTATCAATGGCTCACTGTTGTGCTTTGTGATGGACCCACTTCAGGCACATCTGGGCCTCACCAGAAGAGTGCTTCTTCTTTCGACAGATGTCGACGGGGGCTCTCTGCCTTTATTTTCACTAATCACCGCTTCTCAGCGCACATCCCCATTTATGAGTCCCTTCTTCCACAGCCTACTTGCCCTTTTCCTCTTCTTCTTGTCTGGATTTTGCCTCGTTTTTCATTTAACAGCATATCTGGTGCTTTCTTTTTCCATAAGTAAAAGTGGTCAATGCGTTTTCAAATGAAAATTGCTGAACCAGTATTATAGATCTTCACATTGTGGCATGCTCTGCTGTCTGGTCATCATTGAGGATAGGAGGCGATAACAGTTAAAAGGGGTCAGTTTGAGTGATTATTAACACTGAAAATGATAAATAAAGCAACTGTTAAATTTTTATAATTTTTGTTTTCAAATCTTAAAGCAACCCTGTGTATCTTTTGACCCGGTATTGGCTTAATTAGTACTGTAGAGCACTTAGCTTGTTTCAATGCACAATGCAGGCTGCTCTTCTGAAAAACATGCCTATGTAACCTGAGAGCGCTGAATCTGTCCCTGAATGAGTCATGTGACCCAGAGCGCTGCTTTATGGCTGTCTGAGGTCACCTTAAAGGGGAAAGCTAAAATAAACACTGTTAGCCAACTGAACAGACATGGCTCTGGTCTTATCAGACATAGTTTTTATGGTTCTCTGATGTAGAATTGAATCTAGACGGATAAATGTCTTTACATGTAACTCCATGACTTCTCAATCTGCTGGTCCAGACTGCTCTGCTTTCAGATTCCAAAACACAGAATGTTCAGTTTGACAATGCAGTTTTGCCATTTGATTTCAGGGAGGTTAAACCTGAAGGTCACACGTCTAGTATCCCTAGTGGCAAAAAGTTACACTTTGTCGCTTTAAACTGTCACTTTGACATGTGAGTTATAAAGAATTGTTTATTTTAAGGTCAGAACATCCCAGTTTTTAGACATTAAAGTCTCCATTGGTAATATTATGTGCAATGATAATCAGACAGTACTACTGTTTTAGTCAGTATTGGTGGGTTTATGTGCCCAACTGCATCTTAAAACACCACTCAAAAGTGGCAATTTATCAGACAATTCTTAAACAGAGCTAATCCTTCTCAAAGAGCAGTAAAATTTAAAATGTATCTACCTTGTTAAAGAGCCAGCTGAATTGCAGTGTGCAGGAACATACAAGACAATAACATTTTTCCTTTAGATTTATGTAGTTACATGATAATAGCATTAGTTCGTCTTTTAGATATATAGTAGTATTTCTCTTGTTTGTTGTGGTACAAACATTTTACTCCTAAAGCTTTGACCCAGTTTTTTAAGTATGGGTGGCCATATTGGATATTTGACTAGGTCCCTGGTCTACCAAAGGTTTGCATGTATAAAAAGACATGCCAACTAGAAAGTGTGCTCAAACATCAACTTACAAGGTGCAAATTTGATTGAAATGAGCAAGATAACAGGCGCAGTCTAGTTAGCGTGTTTGCCTTCATGAAATGCCAAACGTCCGAATGCACTGAAAAAGATTTGAAAAAGTATTTAATTATAAATAGTTTCGTCCTCTTAGCACGTTTGGCAATATATTGTAAACTCGCACACAAGAAATACCTGCGTTCATTTTGGAGAGAGGAAGGCATAAGTCAGTTGCAGGCAGGAGAGTGTGTGTCTCAATATAAGCGGACAGTCAGACACTGAAGTAGTACAAACATGCCGTCTGCAGAGCAATGCTATTTTGGGGAAGAAAACTGCAACGCTGCAGCGAAACATTGCAGTTACTTTAACTTCCCAGTATTTCTGGTGTGCTGTCCAGAGGCGAAGGGGTGTTGCAGTGCTTTTAACTTTCTTTGTGCTCACTTTTAATCACAATCAACAGATCAAGTGGGAAAGTAGCTTTACATAAGTTTGTCTCTTTAAAACAGAAATAATTATTAATGCAACAAACCGGATTCAAGGGATTGCTTGATTGATACTCTGTATGACATCAAGTGCTGCAGAAGCCTGTAAATCACCCATGCTTTTAAGTCAGGTGTATGACAGCAATGAATGCTGGACAGGGGGCAATGAGGACCAGGTTGTGGAACCACTGATGTGGGTCCCAAATGTTTTTATCATTTCACACAAACAGAGAGGGTCCAGATAACGATCGCACATGCTTTCTGTGAGCTATTTAAATTGTGGCGGGCTTTTTGGACATGTAACAACTCCAAACTACCAAGCCAGCTAAATCTTCATTTAAATAGGGCATGCCGCAACACTTTTGCACCTACCATTTGACCACATAATATTAGTAGATCATCTGCAATATGCCCACTAATGGCATGAGCATTTTTTTCTGCGATCTTAGTAGATCAGGCCCTAAGATTAACACTGAGATCTGTAACCTCTGCAGTGGTTCTGTTTACGTTTTCTGGACTTTGAATTAGAAATTTGAAAGAATTCTGACTTTAACTTCTGATTTCGGTGTTTGCTTTTTGGCAGATATCAGAATAGATAGGCACAAATTCTATGAGATTTGCACAGATTTTTTTTTTTTTTTTCTGTTTCACTGTATGCATTCAAATAGTTAAGGAATATTTTCCCAAATCGAGGTTGTTTGGTGAACTGTGAAAACAAGGTTTTTACACAGAAAAAAACCAACGTTTTTCTCACTGCCTGCAATTAAATTCCACTAAATGTTTCCGGTTTAAACAAACTAAAGATTACCAAAAGTTTTTCTGGTTTGAAAACACCAAAATAATGAGACATACAATTTTCATGATATTTTCTTGTTTTCTTCAAATCTGATGTTTATATATATTCACTTAGCATGTAGTAAAATTGCATTTTTTAATATTAATGACTTTAGACATTTTAAATGTTAGTGAGCTTCTCACAGCTGTTTCCTGTAATTTCTGCCCAAATGAAGACAGTTTATCTGCTTTGCTGAACTAAGATCAGCAGTTTCATCGCATCACAGAATACTTCCTTCTTTTTGAACGCCTGATTGCTGGAAGTTTCCGTCTTATTTAGATTTCCATTGAATGATTTAGACAGGAAAAGGACATAAGGCAAACTTTGTTCAGCTTACGCAACTCTCTGCTAGCAAATCTTGGTAAGTATCTGATGGAATCACATAAGGAAGCAGTGTGTTGCCTTAAAATATATTCACAAATGTGCCGCTAGAAATTGAAATGTTGCGATTTAATGTACTAGTTTACAGAGCGTTTTAAAAATCCCATGGATTTCCCCAAGATGTTCAAAAGTATAGAAACCTTATTGTGACTTTAAAGAAAACCACAATGTAAATGTTTCCTAAAACATTGTCTTTCCTGTTATCCTGGCATTCATTGAAGGATGTTAGCGATCCTAACTGACCTCTAGATTTATATAAGTTGGAATTTCAGTTTCAGGACCCAGGCTATTTGTTTAAAGGACATTGAGTGCACTCATTCTGACCTTTAAGGTAAAATCAAATGCATCAGTACTCTATAGATTCCATATCATTTTAAAATACCAATGTTAAAGAGATATGTGTAAAACCACAGCATTTATTCTTCCAAAAATCACAGGCAGAGGCACATTTTTAACAAAATGTACAATAAAATTGTTTGAATTGCTCCTTAATAAACCCTCAAATTGTCAACAATGATAAACCACCTGAAATCTTTGATATTATATGTTTATCAAAAAATGTGTTCCCACTTGAGAATCAAACGCCTGTATCCTACCTTGGCTGGTTAAAGCGTTTCAAATTCACTTTCATATTCACTCTTTGCTCTTCGCTGCTAACAGCCAACAAATTCTTCAGGCACTAAGGTGTTTCTAAAACTTTACTGTACCTATGGCTTTTTTTGTACACTGAATGTTGAAAATGTTATATCTTATATAGAATGCATTATGTCATATCAAACCTACTTTTTCTATACAGTTAATAAATCTGATGGTTAAAAATGTGTGTTACTGTCTTCCTGACAATTTGAGTATCCATAAGGCTAAAGGCAAACTAGTTTTCACTACTGGACCAAGTTACTTAAAGGACATTTTTTTTAATATATACATTTGACTCTCAAATTTTTTTTTTTACTATGGTCCTTCTTGTTTTTGAGCCTCATAAAGTTATTGTCGTCTTGTCAAGACAGAAATCATTTAAAGGGTTTGAGAAGATGTTTTGATTCAGATTTTTATTTTCATTGTTATTTTTCTGCAATTAAAAAGCATTATTTGATTTAATCTGTCTATGGTACTTATTAGTGTTGCACCGATACCGATACCAGTATCGGACGGGGCCCCGATACTGCCCTAAAATGGTGGTATCGGTATCGGCGAGTTCCAACAAATAGGGCACCGATACCATTTTGAGAGCCATAAGTTTATTCAACTATTGTCACCCACTCCTGGTAGGCAATAAAAACTTTTATTTTTGTTATACAGTAGAACTTTTAGATAAAAAGTTCTACTGGATTCACTTTGTATTAGATTTTTTCCTGCTTCACAAAGGTAGGCAGCAGCTTGACAAAGCCATGATTGCAATTATTTTACATTATTATGGTATCGGTATCGGCCGATACTGCACAGCCAGGTATCGGGTATCGGGGCCAAAAAATGGCATCGGCGCAACACTAGTACTTATGGTACTTAATTATAACAATAATCCTTAATTTTCTTTGGATTTTACGTGCAGGATAAAAAGTAGTGCATAACTATGAAGCAAAAGCACTTTGTTGCTTTTCAATTACAAATCTGATAAGCACGTGGATAAACAGAAGTGCTCCAAATTAATGCTTTGTAGAACCAACTTTGAATGTGATTCAAGTGCAAGATCTTTCTTAACAGGAAGCCATAAAAAATCACATTTAAAGTCTGTCTCAAGCAAACAGAATTTTCTGACCTACACATAAAATGTAATCTGTGGCAGAAACCTCACAGCAAACAGCATCTCCACCATAAATCATGCTGTTAGGAGGCTTATCTTCAGTCTTCTGATGGGAAGACATATCTATAGACGGGTTAATCCAGACAAACAAAACAGGTTACCGTCAATAAAAGAGTATAGGGAAAAACGGTTTGCATTTCTGCTCAATCACTACATTCAACATACAGCCAAAGCTGCCATGGAATGATTTCATCAAAGAAACATTTTAAGCCCAAATGCAAATCCAACGAAACATTTGTGCAAAGATTTAAAAATTGATGTCCACTCTGCCTGCAATTTTGGGCAGAAAAAGCAGTTTCTATGTTGACGTAGTGCTGAATATAAAGGCATGACATATTCTTTATATTTAAAATAAAAAAAAATTAAATCATGCAATACTGTCTTTCAACTTTACAATTTTGCATTAATTTGTGTTTATCTATCTAAAAAAATCCCAATAAATTGCAATGAGGCTTCGTTGGAATGAATTCCTCTGAAATGTAACTGAGTGTTTTTGTTTTTTGTAATAGCAGGCTTCCTAAAGAATTGTATTTGTAAGGAATGATATTAAACAGAAACTAAAAAAATTATCTGACAAGAAAACATAAAAATCATGAAATTATATTGTATCACTACGTTAGACAATTTACTTAAAAGATCCTAATAAAAGGCTCTGAAGTTGTAACATTACCAGTGTAAAAGAAAGTTCAATTCTGCAGAAAACAGTTAGAACCTCATATAAATAAACCATTAAGTTGTAGAACAGCAAACAAGACATTTGATCATGATGGTGAAGCCTTATACGAAATTTTATTTAAACTTATTTATAATTTTTTTGCTCTTATAAACAAATTAAGAATATTTTCTAAGCTACCTTTTATTCACTTTATTTTCCAGTAGAAAAAAAAACACAGAGATGCAGTAAAAGTAAAAAGTATTAATTTAAGAAATTACTCAAGGAAGATTAAAAAGGCATATGGTAGAATGGCTCTGAAAACCTGTTTTGCTACTTAAAGTTATGTAATCAGACAGCCCATAATATTAAGTTCTGTGCAAATTCCTTTTGTATGACTAATACAGAGAAATTAATTTAAAAGAAAATGGCAAAAATATCTCAGCCAGAAGAGACTCTTGTCAAAATCAATTTTCAACATAAAACATATGAATCCATTCCTTAACTTATATGACGATGTACTAGAGGACCGATAATGTATGCTACTGTATATTAGCTTGACCTCCTAGTATTAGATGTTTAGTGGTTAAAAGTAACACAAAACAACATAGAACTACGAAAAGAACACTCATTTTAGTTAAACTGGAACTGTTAGTTTTTGCTGCATTTTAGGAGAAAATTTACTTTTTCTTTATTCAGTAAAGTCACTAACAATGGGTAGAGCAGTCAAAGATTTTACTCAGGATTAGCAATACTTCATGATACTATTACTTATAGTAATTAAAGTAAAAAGTATGGTGCAGTAAAACTACTTCTAAAAGTTTTGTTCTCTGTTTGTATTTATAAAAGTTTAATCATTTAAATGTAACTAGTTACTACCCCACCCTTTTTTTAAGTCTTATATCTTAAAGTGTATTAATACTTTTTTTAAACCATAAGATTTTGGATATTTATTAACTGGAATAATCAAAAAATAAAACAGCTTCTATAACTTATAGTTTATTAACAGTATTTTTTAATAGAGGGCTAAAAGTCTCTATAATAGCTATAAGGGTCCAGAGGCCGAGGACAGTCCCAGCAGGAGGAAGACAGTTAAAAAGCTGCTAAAAGGATGTTCAGTTCTTTTTTAAATGTACATTCTGATTAAGGGAGCAAATTATAGAAGGAACTGTGGCAGCATACATACAAACAATACAACGTATTTATGTAAAAGTATAGTAAAAACTTTATCCCCTTAATGTCCTCTATCATGTGCATGCCCAAACAGCCATTTAAAAAATAGCATTTTAATATTGTCTAATGTACTTTTCAGCACAGATGTGCATGCATTGTAAAGTTGATTTAATAGGGACAAGTTGGACATAGCAGTATATCATATTGTTTTACTAGTTGTTATGTAATTGCTTATATCGACTTATTACCTCCAGGGCAAATTAGAACTAAAAAAAGTATAACTCAGTCTTTCCCCCCTATTTATCTTTAAAAAAAAAAACATTCCCAATATCTAAGTATTGTTTTAAAATGCAAAAATATAAAATAAAATGAGTTACATTCACTATAGCTGGAAAAAAGGACCAGTAGAAGGTAGAAATAATGTTGAATAGAAACTCCATGTTTGACCTAAAGTTGCTACATCAGTAAATACAATTGTTGGATGAAGTTTCATCTTTGCACTTTTCTAAAATTGTATTGAAGACTACTGTATATTACATTCAAATATTGGGTGAGTTATCCCCATCTCAACTGCAGATCTTTCTTCGAGTGACTGTATGACATCATCTGCGATAAAGTACCAAAGGATAAACTGAGAAGCTCTAACATGTAATTTAAGATAACTGCTAATTTGGTGGAGAATCAGTTAGCTGCTGAGGTGGGCAGTTCTGAACGCGGGAACAGGTGGCGAGGCGATTTCCCTCCCAGTATCCTGCATCCTGGCCATCGTGACAGCGGCACCTGGTGCAGGAGTCCACCCACACAGGCTCTCCTGCAGGGATCACTTTGCTGCGGGATGCATCAACGTAGCAGTTAGGACCTGGAGGATGAAGGAGTAAAATAGAGGTGAGAGTCATCATCAGTACAAGTGCAGTGCCCTGGAAAAGTATTCATACCCCTCAACCTTTCTCTTAGTTTGTCATCTTACAACTACAAACTTTAAATGTCCGTTTTGAAATCTTTCCAGTGGTTTTTAATTGGTTTCATTTCTGGAATTTAACTGGGCCACTCTAAAGCAGCCATTTCTCAACTTTTATTCATATGGTTCTAGATAGTAAAGGCAAACGCACTCGCAAAAGATTTGGGCAGAATTTCATTTTTACCTGCTAAATAATGAACTAAACAAGCAGGTTCTTAATTAAATGGACAAAGCCAAATAAATCTGTGGAAAAAGGTTGTGTAAAACATTGCATTACAAAACCATTAGAAGGGTTTTCCAAGTTTGCCTCATTAAAAGCAGAGCATCTAGTTTGTTAACATCTGTGTGTTAACTCTTTTTTTATTTTTTATTTTCTTGGACTAGAAATAAATCCATAGAAGTTTCATGAATTAATTAAAAGCAAGATTTAGGGCATGCAGTCTGCTTGTGTATAAAAGTCAGTGAACCAACATTGTCCTATTTACTGTGTAATGAAAAAAAAAAGAAAAGAAACAGAAGGCTGTGATTTAGGGACGGATACTTTGTGTTTTATCTAATGTCTTCTAATGTTAAGAGATTTGGACATGTTTGTGTGAAAGTCTATATCTGCATCCTTTCCCTGTGCTGGTGGTTAAAAGTACCATTTATGAATAGTGGTTGGAGTGGTTAGCTGACAGAGCGACCCACTACAACAGTTATTATATCAAGATTGTTAAAATATGTGTAAACATTTTGCATTCAAGATAAAAATCTTTTTTGTCTGTTAATATGCTCTATCTAGAACTCCTCAAGTGGAAAAGTTTTAGTTTCACTTGGTCTACTTTTGTAAAACCTTTTGCTATCCGATTATTATTCAATTAATTCAATTAATTCAATTATAATTCGATTAATGGAAAATGTAATTGTAATCTTTATCAATCACTGCTAACTGTTCAATAATTCAATTCTGGGTGTATTTTAATTCACTGGCAGTATGAGAGTAAAAGGGACTAAAAATGAATGTGTACAATGTTTTCTTATGATATTAATTTGACTAAAAAAGAAAGCTAAGTTTCCTTTAAACTCACAATAATGTCCCCATTAACATACTCTATCTGCACAAAATACATGTGTTTCTTAATTGACATGTACAAAGCACTCTACTTCAGAAATTTTTTTTTATTCCAACATACCGTCCTTGCACTCCGGGCAGCATGTCCCTGGTTGGTAAACAGGATTGACGCATGGCGGAGGAGCACAGTCTGCCACAAGACAGCGGGCGATGCCATCACTGTCACAAGTGCACTGCTCACATTCTGATGGCTGGAACACACAAAGTGATCCTAAATTTCAGACATTTTATAATCCCCTCTTCAGGTACTGTGGAGCTAAACCAGAGACAGCTTAAACTGACACCGCAAAGGAGATTTAACATCGCAAAATAAACTTAAACTGAACACTAAAAGGTCAAGCAGGTGCATGGGTGGGTTCTGGATGGATGGATGGATGGATGGATGGATGGATGGATGGATGGATGGATGGATGGATGGATGGATGGATGGATGGATGGATGGATGGATGGATGGATGGTGATGATATTCTCCTTAAAGGCTGCAGTTTTTTTCAATGAGATGGTTTCAGAATCACCACATTCAGTGTCGGATTTTTTAATGTCTAAACTATCAGTGTCACTGGTTTAGCTCCATATTGACACAGGAATTTCATTGCGTTGTATTTCAAAAGGGGGCGCCATTTACCTCTGATTATCTGCTGCACATTTATTACCCACAAAACACAAACACTTTTTATTGAAGGCTTATGAAATCTTTTGGTCTTAATTTAGTCGAAGCAAAGAGACATTTAGGAACAATGGAGATTCTAACTGTAATTAACAGAGTTAATATACAGTACTGAATAGTAAAGCCTAAGATTTATGAGCTTGAAAATCCTTTTTCATCTGTATCTTAACATGATTAGTTTGTGCAAAGTGTTCTTTACTGTTTATACCATGTTAAGCCAGAAGGCTATTTTTTTTAATAAAGTTTGCATATTCTTTGCAAGCATAAATGTATTTTGGTGTTTTTTGTTTTTTTCAGCTCTAATTTGTACCAGTGGTGCTGTGGAGACAGTATTATGTGCATAATAGTTTTTAGTGGTTACAATTCGAGAGAGTAATTAAGGACGTTTTAAGAATTTTCCATCTTAAATTTTTCATTTCTGTGGCCATCCCAGTCTCCCCTGCACACACACGGTATGATCACTGATAAGTTCTGATTAGTGATACGAAGGTGGAATGGTGTAAAATTAGAAACTTTCTCTCCTATCAAATATGCATCAAATTAAAGACTACTATATAAAAACATATATTAATCAGCTAATAACATTTGCTTGCAGTTAATTCTTTTTTTAATTCTATAAAATTTTGGGGTAATGATTATTTATTCCCTGCTTTTCTAATCCCAATTGTTTAAAACCTTACAGTAAGTGGGATCTCAGAAACAGAAACTTGTAAGACCAAGATCATTGCATCTGTATTATAATTCCATTACAGCTCATTGTTTAGGTGTGAAACCCCAATTAGTGGCCCCCAACTTGTCAGTGCTGTTTTACTCAATTTTTTGGAGGCACCTCCTGTTTAATATCTCTCAAGATAGAGACATCTTTGTTTAATGGAGTTCAATACTAAGAAACTAAACTGGTAACTATTAAGCAGTAATGTACACATGTAGATCTAACTCGATTATTCATAACCATTCTAGCCGTTTAAGGAAGAATATGTGGGCCAAAAAAAGGTGTTACACTGCAAAAAAAACCTGAAATCTAAATGAGTCATTTTTGCTTAAGTTAAGTGCATTTTTTCTTGAATTAAGAAGGTAATTGAGATACTTTGCCAATGGAAGAAGACAATTTACATTTAAAATAAGAAAAAAAATACTTAGTCTTATTTCAAGTGCATATTATCTAATTATCTTGTTTTAGGATTAAAAAATAGTCATTCCATTGGCAAATCATCTTATTTATCTACTAAATTAAAGGGCAGAGACATAGCCAGATAATTTTTATGAGGGTGGCCAGGCAATAACGAATGTACACTGTGGGATGGCCGAAAGTAGATAGGCACCAAAACCTCACGGTAAATCTACTCTTTTCCAACAGGAAGATTTACAAGCAAAACATCCATATTCTCTAAATAAAGACAAAATATACTTTCCCACAGCCTTTGCTAACAAATAGAACAAATAATATATTCAAACATCTGTACTTTCTAGATAAAAGGTATAGTGGATAAAATTCTTTCAGGTTTGAGTTCTGGGCGAACATCTTTTCCATTGTCTTTACTTACCTGCTTTTATCAGTAATTACTCTGTATAAAATTTATATTTAAAAGTACTAATATCTACACAAAATGATTATTTAATAAGTTTTTATTGAAATAGATATTTATCTGTGATTTTACTGAAGACTCCTAAATGACTTGCAGGGACACATCATTTTCTCTTTACCCCATAAAACACAAAATCTATTTCTGCTTGAATTCTGTACTTATCTTTAATGTCAGTATATTGATGTGCATAATTAACCAAAGCGTTTTTGTTTTCAAGTAATTCTTATTATATGAAAATTTAAAATGTTTTGAATATTCCACTTGAGAGTAGTACTGTAGCCACCTTCTGTATTACAGGGAAATAAATGGCAGGGGTGGCTGAGGATTGGCTAAGGGTGCCCATGGCCACCTCTGGCCCCCCATTTAGCTCCGCCCCTGATAAAAGGTAAACACACTCAATTTAAGATTTTTTTTTTTTTTTTTTCTTAATTCAAGATGTTTTTTGCAGTGCATGTCTTACCTGGAAATTCTGGCCCAGCTCGTACACCACCCCTCGGTACTCACAGCCGATCTTCTCGCACCTGGGGCAGCAGTCGGTGGGGTAATGGCTCACATGGATGCAGGCTGCAGGGAGAGACGTGCACTCGGTGCGGGCGCACAGGGAGCCTCCAGCGGTGCACTCGCACTGGGTGCAGGGATCGGAGTCCAGGAAATACCACTCTCCCACGTAATAAGTGCTGCCGTTGGCATCGCATGTGCTTTCTTCTTGTCCTGCGAGCGAGAAGCCCAAAGCGGCCTGTGCGCAGAGCAGAAGAGCCCAGAGCGCTGCGCACTGGATGCGCTGCAGCTGCAGCAAGGAGAGGCGCTCAATGCAAACCTGGGCCATCATTATTATACAGGGGACCGCTCTCTCAAAACAAAGTAAAACCTCCTTTAGTCAGCTTTGGTTGAATATATATATATAAAATCAACATTTGCTCACATCTTTAATGATCCAAATTCCGCATGTCTCCTCTATCATGCCCGGAAGAAGTAAAGAGTTGGGATCCTGAGAGGGTAAAGTTTCACAGCAAGTCCCTCCCCCATTTATCTCAGTAAAAAAAAAAATTATTGGAGCGTAAATCAAGCGAAATGTAACTTTTTGAATACATTTACATTTAGGGCCTCAGTACTCTTTGCAATGATATTTAAGAATAGATTTAAACTGCAGTAAAACGGACCAATAGAAATTATGCATGATGGAACACTTCCCTAGCAACCGGGATGTTTTCCTTGGATACAATAGAGCTTCACGAGACCAACTGAGGTGATCGTTTGTTTTATCGCCAACAATCTGAAGGTATTTACTAAGTTATTCTAACAACCTGTTGTTCTGGCTTATTATGGTAGGACTCACGTTTCCATATGAACTGTTAACCCTTTATAGGGCAAGTTACCATTTTTGATAACTTGCCTTACTAATGGAGTCCCCCCGTCCCTCAGTGAGGTCTAGAAGCACTAGATCTATATCCAGCCATTCAGCAAAGATACTGCTACATGGCTGTACATCTTATTTTGACATTTGACCAGTTAGATGAGCCTGTAAATTAAGATGAAGAGAAAAAGTTAACAATTCAAGAAAAAAAAGGTAAAAAGCTAATTGAAAAGGTAACAAGTAAAGTTAAAAAGTTAATAAGCCAAGTTAGCCATTATATTTAGGTTAATAAATGTAAGAATCAGCATTCAGCATTAATGCCTCTAAGGTTATGTTGGACCAAAAAAAATGTGTTCCTTTCACTCAATATTGAGGCAAGTTGACGTTTCCTGTTATAACATTGATATTAATTTTTGCCATCAAAATATCCAAAAAAATTTTAATGTAACAAAGGTAATAGGCTAAGGTCTGGTCCTGGATTCCAATAACGCTATTGGCTGGAAATTTGGATTTTCAAAGGATTTCACTGAGTGCACTATTATGGGATAAAAGTGATTTTAATAACAGTCAAGCTGGTAAAGTCATAACCAGTCCTGACTTGGTTTTATTGTAGCTTTAGTATTAAACCTTATGGGACCTTTGTAGTTTTTAGATGTGATTAAAAAAAGTAAAACTTAAACTCTAGAAATGTATGTCAAAGTAATGATAACCATGCAATCATCCTAGAGCAGTAATGCATTATTACTCTCTAATTTACTGCATAAAGGTTGAAAGGAGGTTCAAAGTTGGGTGAAAAACTTTCAGTGCCTGAAAATGTCATAAATTCACCATAAACAATACCAATTATTTGGAATTTGCAAGTAAGAGAGTCAAAAAACATGAATTGGTTACAATTACCTTAATTGTTTGCCTGGCTTGTGTATTATATTTGATGCTTATGAATTTAAATAAAGGATCTTTTAATTATATTTGTGAATATGTGAATTATAATCACTTTAAGTAAACTGCAAGTGTTTTATTGCAAAAGTGTGACCTCACAATTAGAAATACCATCTTAATAACACATTTAATTACAAGTAAAAGTCTAATATAATACACAATTTAAACAATGAAGAAGTAGTTAAATGTTCAAGTAGGTTTTTTTAAACTCTGGCTGCTGCCCATCTTCAAGTTGCATTGTGTTCTGCTTAGTGCGGTGACATATGGTTTCCCTTGTGCTCAGACTGCCCCACACATGCATTCACCTGATGAAGAACATCTGGAGTGTCCTGGAGAGCCTCTGTGGAGCTTCATCACTAAAGATGTCCCTGAAGCAGATTTAAAACTGATCGAGACAGTACTGAATCCCTCTATGTTAACGGCATACAAAGAGGTGAGTAAAGAAGCCTCCAATGTCTTCTGTGCGTCTGCTGATTCATGGCTGTTTATAGGAAGAAACACTGCGATCCCAATCAGAGTAGTAATCACATTGCTTGTAGCTTTTGTAAAGACTTGTGTTACTATTCTTAGCAGGTTTCCACCAGAGCGAAACCACAACATATTCAAGAATTTCCTTTTTGGCCAAAGTCAATAAAAAAAATGCAGAGCAAAGCATTTCTGGCTGAACAGTAGACGAACTCCAGAACTAAACTGTTTAGGGAAGTTGTTTGGTTTCATACATTCCTGACTGAAACTCCTGAACAAACGTAAGGAGAGCCAGAAAGATATCGATATTTATTAAGGACTTGCTAAACTCTCAGTCCAAACCTCCAGATGCTTCAAAAAGCTCTCACTGTTTTCAAAATCTTTCAATGCAACACAGATTAACTGCCTCTACACTGCGGTTTTAAGCTCATTAAGAAAGCACATTTAAAGCCAATATGATGAATAACTTATACAAAAATAAAATAAAAAAGAGTTGGATATTTTTAGGAGTGTCCACTAATGAGTGTTTGACATTTCTGTCTGAATTCTATATCCATATTCCTTGCATAATGGTTTCATAAGTATAGTAAATATTCTTAATTCTTCATCTACACTGATTATTGTTATTCTGATTTGTAAAATAGTTCAAACTTGGTTGGATTAGATGCAGGTCACATTTTAATATCTGGTTTTCAAAGCTTGTGTCGGATTTCCAATTGGGCTAAAGTCTGTGTGGTTATACCAAAGGAATATACATTCATTTAAACCAGTTTCATCCAAACCTTTAATCATTTGGGCCAAAATTGTTGATTAGTTACATTTCCCCTGAAAAATTCCCCTTTGTCCATCCTTCCCTCATCTTCGACCAGCCTCTCTGTTCGTAAGGAAGAACCATCCCCTCAACATGATGCAGACACCACCATGTTCTATCATGGAGATGGGATGTGTAATGAAGATGTAGTTCTGCACCTTGTACAGTTATTTCATATGTTGTACAAAGTGACAGACCTTTCCCCCCACCTGCTGTGTACTCCTTTTTCAAGGTTTCTCAGTTCCAGTCCTCGAGGGCCGGTGTCCTGCGCCTTTTAGATGCGTCTATGCTTCTACTCACCCAAATCAGGTGATTAGCAGGACTCTGGAGAACTTGACTGCATAGTCAGGAGGTAATTCAGTCATTTGAATCAGGAGTGGAAGCAGAGACACATCTAAATGGTGCGGAACACCAGACCCTCAATACCAGATTGAGAAACCCTGTTCAAATCCAAATAGAGCTTCTTATATTTTTCTTTTTAAGGTACTTTCTTTAACACTTCTCTAAAGGGTAGATTTGTTCTCTTCATGACTATTAGCTGTCGAAAATCAGAATGTTAACTGAATATGAGATAGAGATCATGTGAAGATAATACAGCATAAAAGGGTTATTTAACTGCTCATACAGTTGTTTACAGTTTATATTCTTTGCTTTGTGTCTTTACTGTTTTATCCCTTTCCCAAACAGTCTCTTTTTTTATTTTTATGTTTGTCCCCGCCCATTTCAGTGATGAACACATGTCTTAGTGAAAGGTAAGGTGATACTAGAACTGAAGGCTACTCCTTCATTCCTTAATAAATCTGTTCATCCCTCTATCAAAGTCCTCATTGTGTAAGATGTTAGATAGGAAAACATAGTAAGCTCTCACAATTTCCCTCCATGCACAGTTCTTGGTGTATTCCCCTTAATCCTCCTTATTTTTTTCTGAGCGGTGTAAAAAAGGGTCCTTTAAAATAAATGTAGCTTTCTTTATTAAATTATCTTTTCCCTTTGCTTATAACACTCCTGCAAAGGGAGCCTTACTAAGTTAGCATGTTAACAGGCAGGAGGTTGTTGTATGAACATTACGACTAAATGAGGCAACAAGCAAGTGGGGATGATCATCCAGTTTACATTAGTAAGGAGAAAACCCAAATTCAGGAATACATTAGAGGCCTGTGATAAACACTGCCCAGTATGCATAAACAAGTTAATATTCATATATTGTATACTTTATATCCATCATCACCTATAGTGGAGGTCTTTAACAGGGGGTCCGTGGCCCCTAGGGGTCCACAGAGGTACTGCATGGGGGTCGCGAAAGCTTTGGTTGATTAGACTTTTTTTAATTTCCCCCCTGCAATTTTTTCCACTAATTGAAATGTCTTTAAATACACATTAACATGAATTCAACACACTGTAGTGAACAGATAAATGGAGGCAGAAGATGTCTTTCAGTCATCAATGCACACATTCAGCGACATACAGGAGCTCTTTCAAGCTGGGTACCGTTTCATTCACAACACCTGTCCCATCAACCAGGAATCAGAATCAGAAATACTTTAATAATCCCAGGGAAAAATTACTTTTGTTAGATGACTTCATTTGTAATAGAGTGACTATAAGAGCAGTTTGATATAACACAATGTCATACAATATATATAATTGGGGGGTCCCTGCTCCATCTCGCCATTAGTTTGTGGGGTCCTGGGCCTGGAAAACGTTAAAGACCCCTGACCTATAGGAAAGACGAGTTTAATTCTTTTCTTTTGGTTTTACATGAAAAAAGTACAATGCTGTAAGAAAATCCCAAATATGAGCTGGAGCATCCTTATGAGTTAAGATACACTATATTGCCAAAAGTATTTGCTCACCCATCCAAATTATTGGAATCAGGTGTTCCAATCACTTCCATGGCCACAGGTGTATAAATTCAAGCACCTAGGCATGCAGACTGTTTTTACAAACATTTGTGAAAGAATGGGTCGCTCTCAGGAGCTCAGTGAATTCCAGCGTGGAACTGTGATAGGATGCCACCTGTGCAACAAATCCAGTCGTGAAATTTCCTCGCTCCTAAATATTCCACAGTCAACTGTCAGCTGTATTATAAGAAAATGGAAGTGTTTGGGAACGACAGCAACTCAGCCACGAAGTGGTAGGCCACGTAAACTGACGGAGCGGGGTCAGCGGATGCTGACGCGCATAGTGCGAAGAGGTCGCCAACTTTCTGCAGAGTCAATCACTACAGACCTCCAAACTTCATGTGGCCTTCAGATTAGCTCAAGAACAGTGCGCAGAGAGCTTCATGGAATGGGTTTCCATGGTCGAGCAGCTGCATCCAAGCCATACATCACCAAGTGCAATGCAAAGCGTCGGATGCGGTGGTGTAAAGCACGCCGCCACTGGACTCTAGAGCAGTGGAGACGTGTTCTCTGGAGTGACGAATCGCGCTTCTCCATCTGGCAATCTGATGGACGGGTCTGGGTTTGGCGGTTGCCAGGAGAACGGTACTTGTCTGACTGCATTGTGCCAAGTGTAAAGTTTGGTGGAGGGGGGATTATGGTGTGGGGTTGTTTTTCAGGAGCTGGGCTTGGCCCCTTAGTTCCAGTGAAAGGAACTCTGAATGCTTCAGCATACCAAGACATTTTGGACAATTCCATGCTCCCAACTTTGTGGGAACAGTTTGGAGCTGGCCCCTTCCTCTTCCAACATGACTGTGCACCAGTGCACAAAGCAAGGTCCATAAAGACATGGATGACAGAGTCTGGTGTGGATGAACTTGACTGGCCTGCACAGAGTCCTGACCTCAACCCGATAGAACACCTTTGGGATGAATTAGAGCGGAGACTGAGAGCCAGGCCTTCTCGTCCAACATCAGTGTGCGACCTCACAAATGCGCTTCTGGAAGAATGGTCAAAAATTCCCATAAACACACTCCTAAACCTTGTGGACAGCCTTCCCAGAAGAGTTGAAGCTGTTCTAGCTGCAAAGGGTGGACCGACGTCATATTGAACCCTATGGATTAGGAACGGGATGTCACTTAAGCTCATATGTGAGTCAAGGCAGGTGAGCAAATACTTTTGGCAATATAGTGTACATGGTCTCTAACACACGTCAATCCAAAACCCAAAATATTTAAATGTGGATATGAACTCTGCCGGATTTCGTGGGTAAAATTCTATAAAGCATTCATATGCTTTTCATGAAGCAATTAAAAAAATCTTTGAAATACTTATATTCAGGAAAAGGTTTACAGGACTAGACATGAAAGGCACTGTCCTGTCACCACATGATCAAAAAGCTGAGTTTGAAATGCTCTTTTCTAAGTAATTTGTACAAGGAGAAACACTGGTAAAGTATCTTTGAGAAATGCTCATGGCTTTGAAATATTTCGGATGTAGAACAATCTTTGTTGTGTTTTAACTGTTGAGTGCAGCTTAATGATGAACAACCTGTAATTAGCCAACAGGTAACAAACACCTCTCAATTTGAAAACAGACAGAAAGCATGGGTCTAAAAGTGCTGTATGCAGCTGCAAAATACAGTTTGAGCTGGTGTTTGAATGTGCATGCATACATGTGGAGAGTTCAGAAGTTTAGCTGCTGCTGATATATTCCTTTGAAGTGAAGTCTCTGGGTGCAACATGGCAGGAATGACTGGCTGTGAGCAGGTGCTGAGGTGCTAATGGTATCCAGACTCCTATGAGACACAACGACTAACACAGATTACAGAAACTTGAAGGCTTACTGGAGCTATTACAAAGACCTTTGTTTGACACATCAGTGCACTTGGACTATTTGTTTTATGGAGTTATGGAGTCATGGAGTTATAATCCAGCTAATTTTTTTAAGAATGCACATTTAAAAACTTTATAAAGTAACTTAGTATCTTAATATAATGCAAGATCATCTAAGGCACACCATTTTTGCCTGTTTTTATTTTTAAATGGTCAGGGCCAGTCTCTGGTAATTGCTTTAATAAAGGTACGCATTATTAATTAGACTTAGACTTGGACAAACTTTATACAAACAAAATGATGTTGCTTACAGTTTACAACAGTTAAATGAGCAGCTTACAATGAAATGAACATTACCTTAATAAAGTGCAGCAGTGATAAGCATGTAAACAGTGCAGGAGAGAAGTGACCCAGTTAAAAAAAAAATAATGGTGCAAAAGGGCATTAATATGAAAAAGGGTAAGTGCAGTGCAAAATAAATATGGTACATAGTGCAGAAGAACATTGAGTTGTGTTATACTTCAAAGGATTATAAGTTCTCAACTACAATACAACAAAAAATGTGATGCAGAGTTCAGTTTAGAGTTTAACAGATGATGCATGATGGAACACTTGGATGGATGATGTCAGCGGGGAAAAAGCTGTTGCAGAACCTTCTGGACCTGCCGTGGATGCTGTGAAGCCTCTTCTCAGAGGGCAGCAGGGAGATGAATGCATAACTTGAATACATGTAAACAACACTCTTTTTAATAGTTGTCATTTGTTCCGACTGTTTTTAAATAGTTTTCTGTACTAGCTTTTATTTTAAATTTTGAAAATGGATTTTTCTTGCCTTTTTCCTTTATTGCTGTCATGATTTTATGCAAAGATCTGACCCACATGCAGAAAACCAAACAGAGAGACCAGGGGAAGGTTTCACAGGTTTATTGAGAACTGGTAGGGATGGGTCCAGTGCTGCTCTGAACACCGGCGAACCGGGACTGAAAAGAGAAGGGGAAGTTCCTGTGGTTAGTTCAGGCTCAGTGGGAAATTTCAGCTTCGATTTGCAAGAGGGAGTAAAGGCAATAGGGCTCACGTTTCCAGAAAAGGTGTCTTTCTTGAGTCCAGTTGGTGTGGGTTGTTCCAGAAATTGGTTTGCTCATTGGAGGGCGGAAAGGGTTTACCCAGGTTAAGTTGTTTCCTTGAGGAACGGAGGAGCTGATTGCCACTTAGATTTCCTTCGGTACTTGAATGGATCTTGTGGAGATGATTCCCCTGCTCAGTGTGAAGCTCAAACAATCCTTTGGGGAAAAGTAGATCCAAACCTCCAGTTTGAATCCCCAGCTCAGTTTGAAGCTCAGACAATCCTTCCAGGGGGAGAAGGTCCAAAACATCCAGTTTGCAGGATGACTTCCTGCCGAGAGGCAAAGACAAAAACAGAAGGATTAAGACTCAGGTAGACAAAAACTCAGTTTGACTCAGCAAAACTCAGCTTGGCTAGAGTACCCAAAATTGGCAAACACTCTGGCCTCGATAGTTGCAGTCGGTAGTTGCAGTCAGCAGCTTAAGATTCCGGTAATGAGGCAACCATCCACATGTGTGTGAGAAGGCCATCGAGAACCAGGCGCCACCTGGTGTAGGAGGGAGAACACACAAAAACACAACCCACACAAACTGGATTCCTAACAATTGCACTTTTTATGGTGAATTGTAGTTTTGCTTTGTTTTGATATCTTTTATTTTAAAACGCAAGAATCAGATTGGAAACAAGCATTTAAGTGTTTCCTTTTGGATTCACTGATGAGTCTAGTTTTTACCCCAAAATAAGAATCAGTCAAATAAATAAATTTTTTTTATTTGCTCAGCCAAGACTAAGTAGCCCACAACTTTTGGGATAAGACAATATTTGAACTTGCTGGACTGTGTCAAACTTGTTGGTGCCAAGAGATGTTTTATTTTGTCAGTTTGCCGAAGATTGATAAGAAAGGAGCTTAACACAGCACAGAGCAATATAGGAAAAAGACATTTAGTGGTTTTGAAATAATTTAGACTAATAATTCACTTTAACCAAAATAAACCCAAATATTAATATACGGCATGTTAAAATCAAAGTATATTCATGTATTAGTGGGGCTACTTCCACGCATACATCCAAATTTAGATTTTGTTTCTTGTCTCTTCAAGGCAACTGCAGTGTGCCCTACCAAATAGGTTTAATTTCTGAATCTCTCAACTGTTAATAACTTCTAACCTCTGATAATGTATCTTTGTGGTTCTGTAACTGGGTAATGATCATAATTTGATTTATTTTTTTCATTTGAATTGATAGTTCAAGATCAAATGAAAAAAATAATGATCCCATTTAGAAAATGTTGATTTAACAGAGAACAGCAATATCATGACATGAAATCATAAATGTATCAAGAGGGTTTTTTTTTTTTTTTTTTTTTACAGTGTTTTTGTTTGTTTGAAACAAACATCCCAATTTCTTCTGGAAATATTTTGTAAATTCCTTGTCTGTTTTCTTTCATCCTTATAAAGGGAATCTGTTCACAGATACATTGCAATAATCAGAAATCAATGAAGAAATGTGGAGTTTTGTTAATGATTATGTCATCACCATGGAATCATTCTTAGGCAAAGAAGAATTACCAACTTTGGCAGGAGAGTCGGGGTCATGGAAACCATCAGAACAATACACAGACTGACTTCACCCGACGGCAAGGTCTTCCTTTTTCTGACCCACCTGCTCTGAAAGAGTTGTTGCGAGGTGAGGTCAAGATGCTGCTGAAGACCCTAAAAGAAAGAGCATGCAACGGTGAAAGGTACTGGTTACTCTCACAGTTTTTTTTTTTTTTTTGAGAGTACAGGACTGTTTTCCTTCACATCTGTATCTAACAAATACCTCTAACTTAATGGTGCAAGTCCTTGATCAAAACAACCCTTTAATCCAACAGTCTGTATCTCCTTCTCCTCTTGCTTCCCTAGTGTCTGGTACTTTCAGTACTTTCAGTTTATGACAAAGGAGACTCATCCACGACCTCCCACACAACGCTCCTCCTCTTGCATGTTTCCACTGTCCATAGCGTTCCTTGACAGTGTCATTTCTAAGTCACCAATTTAGTGCTACTTGGTCCCAATGGAATTTCCTTTCCTATTGGGAACCTACTAGCAATAAGTTGCTAACTGGTTAGCAAGATGCTTCCAACAAACCTGCCACAACCAAACATGCTTGCGAGCCTTCTGCCACAATAATGCAACTGTTGGAACAGTCGTTTCCCTACGACTTCATGGGACATTGAGTCTTTTGAAAAATAAGATTTCTTATTGTTTTTATTATTATGTTTATATAATGGAGTAAAGAAAATGTAATTTTTTTGCTGTTGTTACACAATCTCAGGGTATGTAGTGGGACCTCTAGGACTTAAATCATTGAATGCAAATATTTGCATTGATTTTAATACATTTTCTAACTTCAGACACATTTTGATACCAACCTTTAACTTTAGATTTTCTTAGATACATTAAAACTTAAAAATGTGCTTTCTTCTATATAATTTTACTTTATATAATCTTCCCAGATCTGAGAGACATTTTGTCTTTTTTATATGCTAAATAACCGAGCAATCAGTTCACAGTGCTGGATATTTCCTTTCTATGTTATTTGTATCTACACAAAAGGGGTAATAAAAAAGTACTACTTATGTCCCTCCGAGGCGGAGGACGTGTTTTTGCTGCTAATTTTTGAAGGCAACGTACATGTTTTGTTTTAAAATATTATCATTTCGGCTACAAGAATGTCTTCCATCAAACTGTTCTGATTTCCACTTTAATGTTTAACACTGTTTATAGTTTAAAAAATACAAACTTTGCTTAACAGGGATTTATGCTTCAGGATGTAAGACACCAAAAACAACAAAAAATGTCCTGTTAAAGTCAGTAGAGAGTCAAACTTAAGCCTGTTATGCTTCCACACCACATGTTACTTTATGAAAAGTTCTCTTGCTTGGATTTTAATAAATTATAAAAAGTATCTTTCAGTCTCAGGCTTTCAGCATGTTGTTCATGGCTTTCTGGGAAAAGAATCAAGTACAAGTACTGAAACCACACGGATGTTACCAGAACAAATCTAATTTTCCCTCTGAAGTTGGCTTCAGTATAAATTGTCGACCTTGATACATGGCACTGTGCGGGTGTGTGGGCAATGCAGGCCTTTGATCATTCAATTAGGCTGAGCCTCAAGTGCATATCAGCTGAATGGCTTTCAGGAGTAAACCCAGCACACTTCGAACTAATAATGCTTTGACTCAACAAAGTCACTTGAGGAAACCTCTATTTGTCAATTTGACTCAATTTAGAATGCTCTGCTGGCGTGAAATATAGGAAAACACTGCCAAGGCTTCACAAAGTCCTTCCATAAAAAGAATTTGTTCATGTGCATCACTTTTTCATTTGATTTGCTTTTCACTTTGGCCAAAAACACTTTGTAGCAAAAGGCATTGACATTATATGCAGGACAGTCAGTGTAACATGAAAGTTATAGATGGGGCCGTACCCTGTAAAAGTCAGCCGATTTATATTATCAACCTCAGCTTGTGCTGTCCTGATGCTCCAAACATCACTGTGTAAAATCACATAGTTTGAGCTGTCTTAAAAGGCAAATTTTGTAAAGGCTATATAATTAATGAAGCTGCACAAAGTCATGAAGATAATCCAACACTGAGGAATTGCAGAGGTGAAGTGTTTAATATTGGTGACAGAACAAAGAGTGTAGTAATAAGTTAATTGGGAGCAGGTGTGGACTGAAACAGCTAGAAGGGAGCTATAAAAGAGGAAAGGAAAGGGTCACTAGGGGGCAACAAAGAACAGCCAGGGAAAACAGTGTTTTACTGTCACTAGAAAATAACTTAAATTAGGCGAAAGGGGAATAAAACTAATGACTACAAAACGAGGAATGACCAAGTAGAAAACTAGATGATAGGAGAAGGTACTGGAGATAACTGAAGCCATGGCAAACATAACCTAAAGATAAGAGAAAGATGAACTAACCAAACTAAACCAAGGAATAAATAATACCAAAAATGAAGAATTTAGATAAGATTAAAACTAAGAATATAAAAAATATATATAAACACCAACACAGAATAACATAAAATCTTGACACTATCTGACCAATCTTGATTCACAAAATACTTCATACTCCCCGAGTACCATTTTTAGGTCTTGTCTCAAATTTTCATTTGGATTTTAAAATGGACTTGACTAAGCCAGTTCATCAATATGTCTGGGTTACAACAATCCCATTGAAGCTGTTGACAGCAATCTTCTCTGCTCCTCATGCAGTAGATACCACGTATTGTGAGGTGAGCACTTTGGAGCTGAGGGTTGCTCAGGGACCCAGAGTGGTAGTCTCTGGGGTTTGAACATGGTAGCTGCAGCCTTAGCAGAGCCCAAGTTCTGCTCTAACCGTTAGGCCACCGCTCCCCATGAAACTCGCCCTATGGCTGGGTGATTAAAAAAATAATATATTTTGATAGATGTCAGATTAATATCATTGAAAATACTTTTAACAGTTTAAGTTTATTGAATTCTCATCCTGAAGCACACAACATTCTGTGGGATCTGAAGAAGCTTTAACAAAATATAAACTCTCAGGCTCTAGTTGACAAACTAAACTAGGATGTTGGTGTCATGATCGGTTTACGAATCTGACCCACATGCAGAGATAATCACTCAGAGAGCAAGGCAAAACTTTAACAGGTTTATTGAAGGAGTAAACAGGAGTTGGATCTGGAAGGAAAGTTAAGTGGTTAGTTCAGGTTCTGTGGGAATCCTGGAAGCTCTGAGATTTTGCAAGGTTGGGAACTCATGTTTGAGGGGGCCTTGTTAGTCCTTGAATCCAGACTTTGTGGTAAATCCAGAGAAGGGTGCACACATTGGAGGGCGGACAGGTTAGACAAGAGTTGGACCCGGAGGAGTAATAGAGCGGACCGTCACTTGGATTTCTGATGGGTACTTGAACGGAACATGTGGAGGTTTTACGCTCAGTCTAACTCGTTTTTTTCCTGAATAAATCAATGATTTGTTATATTGACTGATTTTTTTCAGCCATATTGCACAGCCCTACTTGACGCTGGTGGGAATTGAACCCAAACCTTTGAATCTGTGAATCAAGAGCTTAGCTAAAAGTCCAAACCACATGTATCTTTTAAAACAATCTTTTTAGACTGTTTTGCACTACATTCACTAACCTGTCTGGTGTTTGTTCCACATTTCATGGTGACAGAGATGCTGAGGATCTCTTGCTGCAACACAAACCTGAGACTCTTCACTATGTGCTTCAGCACCAGGAGATCACTCACAGCAGATCCCCAAACCTCAAAGATGCAGATAACATCAGCAGGTAGGGAGCCAGCTTAGACTAGATAATAAGTAAAGAGGAACACTTCTGACTCCTCCTCTCCTTCCTCTAGAGGTCCTAGCCCTTGTTGTTCCATCATGTCCGGTGCTGAAGGTGAGATTGAAGCAGTTAAAGACAAGGTGAACTCCACTGAGATTTACCAAGTGATTACTAAACTCAGGTAAATTACAGCTGTTGTTTTTTAATTTCTCTTGATGTGTTAAGGGTTTGAGATGCCTTTAGGTCTCTGTGTAATGTATAACAAATTCCCACGGTAAGATTACCTTGTCTATAAAAAGCTCTCTACTGAGGTTTTATAGTATTTACACAAAAAATTAAAAGGTGATCAATTTAACTCCTTCCATCAAAAACGGACATGCTCATGCTTTTCTGCTCTCTTTCCGCCAAGAAGAAGTCATTTTTTTATTAGTGCCATCACAAAGCTACTAGGACTCCTTCCAAATATATATTTAAATTGTAGCTCATAAGCCTTCAGTTTTCCCTGAGTCAGCAGTAAAAACACTATCCAGGGTAGGTAAGGAGCTATGGAGTGCTGTTCTGAATCCAAACAGCCTTACAAATATCAGTATGGGATGAACACTTAAATAAAATATGCTCGCAGCATAACTACGGTAACTAATGCTTTATTTTAGTAAGATCTGAATTAGGGGGAGCATGTAGATATTGAACAGGATGGACCCTAAGATGGACCGTTGGGGAATTCTGCTTGTGATTTCAAAAGTCCCTTTCCAGGTGCTTGGTTCCAGGTACTCAGAGATTCACTTCCATACAGAAAGCCCATATTCTTATCTTCAGGTAACACAGAGTACATGTCAGATTAAATAATACTACTTCAGGGATAGTTTCAAGGTGTTACTTTATTGTATGTCTCGTACCATGTCTGATGGTTGTGCTGTTCTTTTTACATTTCTCTACAGGTGATGAAGCAGACTGAAAATGTTTTATCATTATCTCCCTGCTATCTCCTCTTTCTTTCATCTTCTCTTATTTTTTTCTGTTGTTCCTCTTCTGTTCTATTTACATAGCTGTGTCCATATAATCTGTAAAACTCCCTGCATAATTATAATAAAGCAATTTATATGCATTGAAACAAGCAGAACACTATGGCAATAGTCCTACTGCCCCACTGTTGGGCTCTTTTTGGCATCAAGACAATTATTCTTATTGCCACATTGCCAGACAGGACACTGCTAAAAAAACCTATCCTAAGTACCTTTCCTTCAAGTAGGATTTAAACCAGTCCAGCTCTGTACCAGAAACCCCAACCAAGTTTTCCAGGCTCTCTAATAAAATTGAGTGATCAAAAGCTTTAAATGCTGCACTGAGACCCACTAACACCAGCACCGTCTGCATTTATATAGACGTCATTGAAAGACAAGGGCAGCCTCTGCACTGTGTTGAGTTCAGAAGCCGGACTGGAAGACATCAAAACAGCTGGTCATTGTTAGAAAGGTGTTTAAGTGTAGAAACACAACAGGGAAGCTGTGGCTAAAAAAAATAGACATCAGGAGGTAGAGCTTTGCTTTAGTTTTATGCAGTTTATTTGGTGAAATTGGGTTTTTTTGTATTTTTGCAACTTTAGTACTGGACTTGATATGGTTGCACAGACTGCCCCTCTAATCTTTAAGTGTTTTTTTAATTACAGCATTAAAATGAGATCTTGCACAGATGAAGTGTGGGGAAATCTTTTGTTTGCTTCTGGCTTATATATATTTTGTAAATCAGAATTTAGTCATAAATGATTTTTTTCCCCGATAAATTCAATACTTTCCTTCTGCACCACTCGAAGTTTCATGGATTTTTTTCTTTTTTCTTTTAGTTTTGAAGAAAAAGTTGCAGCTATGACGGTTAATATCAGGATCTATTTCTTTTCACACAAAGAAGCAAAGTTACAGCAGAAGTGAAACAAGAAATCTCTCAGCAGGGAGGTTCTTTTTCCCAGCACTGTCTACACAAAACAGTGGTGTGGCTCATTTATTTCAAACCTAAAATCTGTCATTGATTCACAAAGTGACAAAAATGTACTGTTGCTCATTAGATAAAGCAGTAAAACTTTTGACATAAAGAAAGTTTTAAATCCTAGATCATCATTTTGATCTACTCCATCTACTTCTAATATCTAACATATGACCTACAAAGAGTTTAAACTTATCGGACTGTAATATTATGCTAAAACTATTCTAAGTGTAATAGTGTGCAAGACCCTTTCACAAAACCTCACCTCCACATTTAAGCACCAGCAGCCGCATACCAGTGCTATAATGGGGCAGCACTGGTAGATTTACTGGACAGGCAGGGTAAAGAATGTCCCCAGAAACCTACCCTGCCTTCCAGTGTTACAAACATGCTTTCATTTCCTCTCCCTTATTCAGCTTTCTTACTGGCTCTTTCATTGGTTGCATTTTTTTTGTACCTGATACTTTGATCCTTTGAGTGCACTCCTTCTCTCCAACCCCCCCCCCACCTAAAATCTCTGCAAGCTTTGTGGCCTCTGTCACCAGACTGCCTCCTTTTCATGCACCATACATCCTTTCTTCACTTCATCCTTGCTTTGAGGCTCACAGGGAAACACGGTTACCCAAGCTACCTTTTCAAACAGCCCCTCTTTTTCTTCCCTTCCTTTCCTTTCCTCTATCTCTCTCGCCCATTTCCTGACTAGACCAGAACAAAAGGCTTTATTGTTAGAAAATGGATCCCAGACCAGCAGATGATTCTTTTTTTTTTTTTTCATTTAAAGCCAGTGAATAAGGTCTCCAGTGGTAATCCAGGCAGAGGAGACAGAGTGTATTTTCCAGAGTTAATAAAAAAAAAAAAAGTTAGTAATAAAATGTATATGTGTCTTCTGTTTTCAGTGATTGTTATTCACCATTTATATTGTCTATGTTTCTGTCTAGCTGTATACTAATGGAGGAATGTGAAGAACTGAATAAGAGGGCAGAGCATCTAAAGGTACGTATAGTGAATGACCAACTAAACACCTCTTGATACAAAATCTGTCAATCAATAATGTTCTGAAAAATTTATGGAAATCTAAGGAATTTATAACTGCTTCTTACTGACAATTATAGCTTTAATTTGATTTTATCAATAAATAGAAGCCTTGAAATAAACCTTTAAGGAATTTGCTGTATGGACGGTTGATAGTGAGTGTTAATGGTATAGTGGAGTATGTTCTTTTTTTTTCGGGTGGCTTGTCAAAACAAAAGGTCCTCCTAACTGTCAATCATTCTAGTGATATGTTTATGTAAGGCCGTCCCACTAATCCAAAGTTGATACCTAACAGCAGCATACTCCTTCTACCTTCAAAAACCTTTTTGTTATCCCACATGTAAAAAAAGAAATTAGTATTCTGACACATAACACCCAGCTAAGGTAATGTATCAGATATGTAAGGTTTTGTCATTTTTTTTGAAAATGCTCAGATTTGTCTGACTGTAAACTCTTAGTTGGATTTAAGGTTTGTACTTTGACTGGGCCTTTCTTACATAATGAGATGCTTTGATCATCCCATTTCAGCTCCTCCAGCAGCATGATGACCCTAAAGCTGTTTAGTCATCATGCTGCTAGAAGGCCTTCATGTCAGGTGCAGTCTCTATTGCCCTGTATGTAACTCCATCCATCTGCTAAACCAGTCTGTCCAGTGTCCACACATCAGCCTTGACACAGCTGATGTGTGGAAGATTATGAGGAGAGTTAACCCAAGAAGGGTCAGCTGGCTGCTGTTCTCACAGCTATTTTTAACACCTCGCTTGACCAATCCATAGTGCCAGCATGCTTCAAGTCTGCCAACATCATTCCGGTCCCTAAACTTTACTAAATTTCCTTTTTATACACTCTGTGTATACAAAATGACAAGTTTAAGTCTAAGTATTTGCTGACAAAAAATCCCAGTATAATGCTGCTGGTTAGTTTTCCACCAAATAAAATGTTTTTCATGTAGACAATTGGCCAATTCTGGTCATTTCAACTACTTCCCTATGTCTGCTGTCTTCTACATAGCTGTTGCATAACGAGTAGGGCTTTAATTTGATTTCTTTCAAAAATGGATTTTCATTTTCACTCTTCCATAAAGGACATATTGGTGGAAAGCATAAGTAAAAGTTGTTCTGTTAACAGACTCTCTCACCTGAGCTGTGGATATCTGCAGCTCCCCCAGAGTCATCATAGTCCTCCTGATATATATTATAAATTCACATTTGTGGATTGGATTGTAGTTCAGCTGTAGCCTTTCCGTTTTTGGATGACTCATTGAACAGTGCTATTACCATTTTGGCCAAGTTTGGTCAATTTATTCATACCTAAATTTGCTTTATACAGTATACAGGTAGGTGTTATTTGCCAAATATGGTACTTTGTGTTTGGTTTGACTGGTTCCATTTAGAAGTACCACAGTAAAGGTGGCCTAATGCAAATCTATGTCATGCTTTTTGACATATCACTCGTCTTCCATTTTAGAAATCCACTATTCTTTGTGTTGCTCTATTACATGTGAGCCAAAACAAAACATGCTGACATGTTGAAACTCAGCTTCCATCTGTCTGGCCACAAGCTGCTGCAATGCTGGGAAGTATTGGTCTTTTTCCAATCTCTCAAATGATGACACTAAAGGCACACTAAAGCACACGCAGCATGAATCACATGAGGCTCAAACGCCTCATGTGTATTTATGTCAACAATCTGGTTACCACTTCTTGCACGAGAGGAACAGAGAGAAATTTAAATGTAGGACATCTCTGTTGCCCAGATGTTTCAAACTTCTTTTCCTTATTTCTTTTTTGTGATTCTCTTGGGATGGTTTAACGTTTAATGTAAAACCGAGAATCTAAAGAATGTGTTAACTTTTTTTTAAATCATTGCAGTGTTTTAATGCAAGCTAATCTTTATTTATTAACTGTGTTTAAACAGACTATTGTTTCAGTTCAGCATAAACTTCCAGAGCGCTTTCAGTGACTGGTAGTTATGCCAGACAGAGTCTCCTGAAGAGCTGTAATAATTCACTGAGTCTTGTAATCTGGCCTCAGGATCTTCTGTTTGTTTTTCTTTACAGCAACATAAATTCAAAAACTCATATTCTCTAAGAAATTTTTTTAGCACGGGTTGTCACTTTTCGACATCCCTCATCCTCACACGGTGATGTTTGTGTTGGATTATCATTTAAGATCTACAGATGATATGGATTAAAGTTTGTATTTGTGAAGTGGCAAAATGACAAAAAATACTCTGGATGACACAGTTTGGATAAAAGTGCCTCCTACTCTTATTTTGCAAAGATAAAAGCAGTTGGGACCCAGATCTAAGGTGAAGGTATGCTCAGTGTCTAAATTTAATCAGAGCAACATGTTAAATTTACAAACTGCATTTTATGAAATCATTACTAACTCTTGTTTTATGTATTTTAATATGGACATTAATATTGGCCAATTCATTTTATGGTTTATTTATTGATTTATTTATATTTTTTAATCAGAACTAATATCTAAACTAATTGATAAAAAAACAGAACATTGTTTTTACTCTTTAAACAGTGCTAGAATAGAGGAAAAATGACAAGCGTCTGAGCAGTTCCTCACTTCATAAAGCTCCTCCATGTTTAAAACAGTGGAAAATTGTATTCATTGAGTGTTTAATCTTATTAGTTAAGCAATAAAGTTTTAAAGCAGCTACTAAATACAGCTGCCTTTGGTATTTAGGCTGATGTAGTTTGATCTGAGTTTTTTTCTACTGCGACATGCAGCAGCCCATCTACAATTAGTGCTAAACAAACAGATTATGATTCATTTTCTTTTTGCTGAAGGAAGGCTCCAAAAAGCTGCTATAACCTGCCTATACACACTTTGTTTGATTAGTATTAAGTCAGTCAGCTTTAAGATAATTTAAACTCTGTATGCATTCCTAACCTGGAAATATTATTTGTCACTTTTCCTCTCTGTTACTATTGTAACTTCACATAATAACCCCCAGATCCTTTATTAGCTGAATGTCTTAAGGGAGAAAACAAAAAGTATTTTTTTCTTCAGCACACTTCCCATAATCCCTTTTGTTTTATCATCTTAATTGAATTAATTGTATACTAAGCTGAATTAGACCCAGCTTTTAAAGGTGTTTGGAGAATAAAAACCACATCGAATCTGCCTCTATTCTGGGAATGTGGCTCACCCATCATGGTCCCCTTTGAGACATTTCTGCTTCATGCTACCTTTGTCAACCATTTCTTCTTGTCCAGTTGGAAATCGGGCTATACTGCTCTATCCCAGGTGATAAATGTGATGGCTGGAAGTCCTATTTAGTAATGGATGGTTGGTAGCTTTTGCATTTGCAGCAAATCACAGCCCATACATTATACTACCATCCCCAGCACTACATTCTGAATATGATACAGTAAGTCCAGTCTAAGCTAAAGTTGCAGCCCAATCAAAGTTTTCTGGCTGAAAATGCATTTAAACACTACAGGGTATTATGTCATTTCATTTAGAATTTAACCATTGCCCGCTTGGTAGTTGTGCAGTGTGGGGTCATGTTAAAATCAAGTCATAATCCCGAATTAAATCCAGTTTTAGTATGGGTATAAATTATTTGTGACATTTTTGAAGCCACTCTTCAAAATAGGAAGGATTAAAGGTCATGCCATTTCAATCAAGCAGATTTGTTTTGATCTTAATCAATAAAGAAATGGTCCCAGGAAAATATCAACATGCTCACTTAATCATTACCAAATCAACACTTGGAGCAATAAAAAAAAAAAAAAGAAAGAAAAGAAAAGTTACAACTGGAATTTAACTGGGGAAAAAAATCTCTGATACTCACATTTTCCAGTGTGGGAATATGTCACTGTATTAAAATGTTAGAAATGATAGCCATCTGCGTTTCAACTAGGTTTCAGGAAATTAGACAATGTGGGTTTTTTTTTCTCATCCATAAAAGAAAATCCCTTATATTTATAGCTACCTCTTAGATATCAGCAAGGTTGAACCATGATGTGCACCCCCCATCCATAGGCTGATAAAAGTAAATTTTCAGACTGAGCTCACAACAGAGCTTTTATTATTCCAAGTCAAAACAAGACATATAATGAATCTGAAATAAGACACTTGGAGATCTGGCTTTTAATCCCTCTGGCAGACTGTGATTTGCACATTAACATTCAGGCTCCAGATTTAGGCAGGTATGAGTGATAATGTTTGTACCTTTCTGTGTAGTGTGGTGCACGTTGTGGTTGCTTTAAAATACATGTGCTGTGTGTTAATGTTAAAAAAAGGCTACTAACTGCAAAGATCAGATTCATTACTGGTCTTCCCAACTTCTGGCACACATAGAGTGCTATGGTTTTTATTTGCTTGGATTCATACGTTAGAGGCCAATGTATGATGGAACACTGCTGCTCAATCGCTTAGTGGTTTCTCTAATATACACACTTGCATTCCTTTAAAATCACTCTCTGGGTTATTTTTAAACCTTAATTTTCCTTCCTTTCCAGAGTCTCCTCTTGGGAGTGTTTCATACGTTTGCCTTTTTTTTCCAATGTGTCTTTCTTTTCCAGACATGTATTCCTTTACACATAATGGTGGCATGCAGAAAAACTGCAACATTAACTGAAACTGGCTCATTTTGCTCTTGTGAACTGTCTCTTGCAGGAAAGCATGACATTAAAGTATGAGAGCAAAACAACAAAGCCTGAACCTTCACTTATAGGTGAGCTGTATTTTGGATATTTGCTGCCATCTGCTGACAAGTTTTGGTTTACAAGAGAATAGAAAGAAAGTTTTCCATACAGGCCTCATTTCTAGCTTAGTTGTTTAATATAGAGGGTTTATATCAGGCAAGAGTACATTTAAAGAATATGATCAAGTTCTTTCCTCTCCAGTCTATCAAAAGTTTGCTGATTATACAACTGGAAGAAGTATATATAAAATGGCAGCATTAAAAAGAGCATTTGGAAACGATTCAGGCTTTTTTCAGTCTCATTAAAACTGGAATGGATGTATTTATCATTCTCCAGGTTTGGATCAGTACTTGAAAACTCAAACTCTGATTAAAAAAATGCAGGTTTTACATCAGTAAATGGTGCATGTATTATGGAACATCACTCGGATTTCATTTATCAATTGAGTGGACTTGATTGGATTGTTTTTTTAGAATTAGGAATTTATTTTAGATTGAAAACTACTGTATGAAATCCATGTGGACATGTAGTACAGGGAAATGTATCTGTAGTAAAAGGTGCCTAATTCAGTTCAGTATACCTCATAATAATATATAATAAAAACAATTTCTTATTAAAAAAATAGCAGTTCTTCTCAGTTCCTAGAAAGGTATTAGAATGTACATCATGCATATTAGTGATAAACATAGCATGGTTTTCTAGCTTTTTTATATAGTTTGCTTACAAAATGACCTCTTGCCTTTTATAAATCCTTTTGCTTTTTGTTTTTTTTATGTTTTTTTTTTAAAGGGAATTTGTTTCTTTTAATATGTTTTCATATCAGAGTTTTTCTGTTGTGTTTGCATTTGTGCAGAGCTGAAAAACCTTAGAGCATCACTTCAAAGAGACTTGGAGCTCCTACCTTCACCGTTAGGAGCCTCATCTTCTGCTCATGTTTGTAGGCCAAAGAAAAGCCCCAGGTTTGTATGTTATTAATCATAAAAACATCCTAATTAATGATTCATTATCTGTATATTTACATTTTTCTGTGTGATCACGAAAAAGCTTTTAAACTAGAATGTAGTGTGATATACGTCCTGATCTGTTTCCTGTTTCCCCCTCAGACTTCCACCTTTAACCCATTCAGATTCTCAGTTAGTTCCTAAATCAGACTTGCCTTCACTGCAGAACGTCAAACCCAGGCCACCGTGTCATGATCCTCCTGCCAGGACCTCATCAGGGAGGACTCTTGGTTTACATCGTTTCACAATAGTTAAACCTTCCAGCACCAACAGGATGGGCACTGAGCCAGATGTTACTGCCCTTTGCTTCAGGACTTCTTCAAGATTTCCCCTAAACTCTGAGATGAACCCAACCTACCCTGAGAATCATCCATCCACACAATGCTGTGTTGTCAGATCAAGCACAGATTTTGATTGCTCATCGCAAAGGGAGAGAAAAAACAGCCTTATTTCTAGCTCAAGAAATACCAGTAACAATCCCTCACCTTCACTTCCTTTTGGTGAGCTCTGTGGAGAAGGCAGCAGCAGTCCTGATGGCCATTCTGAGTCTGTGGTTTGGAACAAACAAGCAGAAGACGGCAAAAACAAAAGCAGAAGTACAAGAAGCTCAGAGGTAATAGTACTGCAGAAAAATACACCAGAAAAGATAAGTGGGATCTCCCTCATATCTGGAACTTTGGATCAAGGAGGCTTCAGGCAAAACAATAGTAGGTTGGCAAACAATAAAAATGATTACCTTGGAATTAATAACATTAATCAAAAAGGGAAAGAAAGCTTCAACTTGATAGAGGACTCCTCACATTATCCAAAAAGCAGGAATATATGTAATCAACTGCAGACTGCAGACACAAACTAAAAAAAAACAACTTCTGCTCACCTGAAGAAATATGGACCAGAAAGCTGCAGGAAACAAATATGAATATATTTTAAAATAATACACAAATAAAATTTTTTTGTTATATAAAATTTGTTTGCTGTGTCCAGGACCGCTATGTTGTTCTACCAATAAAGTCTGTGAGATTAAATTAAGATTATAAAGTGTGTAACTATGGGAAGAAACTTTCTCAACTGAAATAAAAACTACTGACGAGAGATTTAAAGATAATTCGGTATTTTTTAACAAATCAGGTTGTATAAAATCTTGTTTTTGTGTTTGTCTGATAAAATACGTTTATTTATAATTAACATTTATGTTAATATGTATATTTAGGCTGTAAAGAAATGGTTAGGAGACCTTATTAAATACTTTTTTGATCATTAAATCAATGGATTTCTGTTACACTGGGTTTTTTAACTTTTCTTTTGCTATTAAGCATGTAAATGACCATTGTAAGTTTTTTTAATCATAAAAACGGTTGTAAGAATAAATGAGAAATATGAAAAGCTTTAAAATCCTGAACAAAAGTAAATTTTTTGGCAGTATTATTTACTACCAGGGTTTCTACAAAGTCTGGAAATTGCTTTGTATTTAATTATTTTAACTGGAAACCTCCAGAAGTGCCCTTATTCCCAATACTTTGTCTTTTTAAATGTGTACATTTTTATTGACTCTATTTTTATTTAAGAAAAGTTCTGTTAAGATTTTATTGAGCTCTTTATGCTTTGTTAAAATTTGACAAAATGTCTATGATGTGGTGCAACGAAAGAACATTCAAGCTGTTAAATTCTCCCTACCAGTCTCTAGCCATAATTTAAAAGTTTTCAAGAAGGTAAACTGACATTGAGTAGGTATTGATATATGATACTGATATACACTTCAATGCAGATCTTGAATTTAAAACATTCAAATCATAAAGGCTTTTGGCAGTTCTACACTTCTCTTAGGTCACTTGCATTGAAGATAAATGACCTTAAATGTGTACTTCTTTCATACTAAAACAGACCAATCAAAATCAACTGTTTTTTTTTTAAATGTGGGTCAGAAACAAGGCAGTTTCTGTAAGCTAGAACAAAGGTCTGCAACCTGCAGCTGAAAAGCTGCAATTGGTTCATTGTTTCTCTTGCTTACAAATATCAATTAAGCAATGAGATATTTTCCTTTCTTGTTTCATTAATGTGTTCTTTATGCGACGCTGTAGAGCAATGATGTTTCGGGGCTGTCCCTGGGCAACACAGACTTTCAACTCCCTCCGCAAATTTTCTATGGGATTGAGGTCTGGAGATCGGCTAGGCGGCTACAGGACTTTGAAATGTTTTTTACTGAGCCACTCCTTTGGTGCCCGGGCGGTGTGTTTAGAATCATTGTCATGCTGGAAGATCCACATTTCATCTTCAAGGTTCTCACTGATTAAAGGAGGTTTTGGCTCAGACTCTCAGGATACATGTTCATTCTTCCCTCAACATGGATCCAGTTAGTTTGATTGTATTTGAGTTCTTGGATATTTCCTGTTTACCCTCTTGTGTCAGTCTCCTTTTCCCTAGCTCCCTTATTGCTTCTGTTCACACCTGCTCCCTTTGCTGGTTTGTCGTCATTACTCTATCCCCCTCTTCTTGTGAGTATTCTTGGTTTTCTGCATTTTTGGAGTTTTGTGGATTTATGTTTTTTGGGGATTTTTGCTTCTGTTGGACTTTTGGTAAATTAAAAATTCAAGTAATCACATCAGTCTCTTGTGTCTGCATTTGGGTCCTTTCTTTTTTTCTTCTTTTTTTGTATTTTTGGGGGCAATTAATTGAATGCCTATTTTTTGAGCATTTATTTATTTCAGTATTTTTAGATATTGCAGAGTTGGTCCTCCATACTTTTTTCTCCATCACAACAGGTACAACAAACATAAATGCGTAAAATCAACCGTTTAAAAAAAAAAAAAAAAAAAAGTTTTTAATCATAGAGATCATCTTTATCATTATTTTGTCCATTCTATTTTTTTCGCGTTTTTTTTTTTTTTTTTTTACTAAGACCAATTATTTCCTCCGTTTGGTTCTCTTGTTTACTTCATTTGGTTTTCATTACTAGGTTTCGGTTTTCCTCTCCCTCATTTTAACAACAGACGCAGCGATCGAGCAGCTGATGTGGGTTATATCCTAGAACAAGGTATGATTGTCTCCTTTGAACAGTTTTAATCACATGTGATGGTTGCAGATATGAATGTGTAGTTTAACAACATTCTGCATCTTAAATATCTACCACCAAAACCAGACTTAAAAAGCTTGAAGCAGCCAACACATATAGCCTATGTTTTTGAGAACTTTTATATGTACAACGCTTTCTTTTCTTAGGCTGTGCACAGGCAGGTAGGAAAAAGTTTTAACTGAAAGAAATTCATGTTTTAATTTGGGTCTCATTGCGCAAGGTGAAGTTACACCCTGTGGGAAACAGTGGTTTAAAGTATTTTAAGCCGATTTCGATGTAATTGTCATGGGGGAAAATTAACCATTAAATGGCCGTTTCTAGCGGTTATTAGTCTCATTTAATGTTTTCAGATTGTGCCTCCTTTACCTTCTAATATGAATGATAACAGGGCCAAACACAGGACCCAAAAATACTGAGGTTAGGAGTCGGTCACTTCTCGGTGGGTTCAGCTTGCTTCCCAGAAAATGTTTTCAATCCCATTATTTAAATCTGGTCATTTTCAAAGTCTTAAGGAGCAAAGATAAGATCTTTATGATTTTTGTGTAGTCTAGTTGATCTATTTCTCTGTTCATCTTTCCCTGCCAGACATTTCAGGCATTTTAAACTTGTAAACTTGATTTTCATGTCCTCTTTCTTTCGAAGCTTCTTTCTCATCGTTTAGAAATGTGTCACCAAAGACATTCCAGTATAATTGAAGTAAGCTGCTTCATAGTTTCTTAAATATTTAGATTAGCCAAGCCCTGTTACACTATTAGGTTGATGATAATGTAGGAAGGAGGCACAATCTGAAGCCATTCTATGGGACGGATGGCCGCTAATAATGGCCATTTAATAGGGTAACATGCAAAGCTGCTGGACTGTAAATATGCTCTGTACAGAACTCGGTTTCAACTGGTTTCATTTTGTAAAAAGTCTTCTTTAAAGAGCCCTTTGCTCTCAGATTATTAGTCGAATAATCAACTGATTATTCAATTTGAGTATTAATTTCTAGTTGCAGCCCTGGATATTGTGATCCCTACCATTTTAGATATCTGTGCGAATTTACATTGACAGCGGTTAAAAAAAAAAAAAAAAAAAGCCAGCGAAGCTGCGCCGCAAATTGCCAATTATAGGCAGGCAGCCTGCCTTTCTGCAGTAGTTGTTCCGGTGCCTGATTTCAACCTTAGCAAAATTACGTGTTAGGTTTCTGGGCTTCAGTTCTAGAAAACAGTAAGTGTGTAGAGGTTTTATACTACTTTTTTAGGTTTTAATATGGTTAGAATATGGCTAACGTTACCTAGCCCATACCGCTAACCAGCAGAAGTGATGCTAACTAGTACTTGTAGGAATTTACCACGAGAACAATTTAACTATGCTAAAAGCTATACTTGATGTTTAACATAAAAAATTTTGTAACAGAAATAGGGAATCTTTTAATTTATTTATTTCAGTCCGTTTTAAACAGGATCAGCTTCGACGTAGCTGGGTTGCTAGCATTACCCAACATGTGCCTTCCGGTCACTTTTTTTTTTTCATTTTAATTTGGTACAAAAAGTAGTAATTCAATTTAATAGCTGTTTAAATAATTAAGCTGTTTCTGTTGATGGTGCTCTGTTTTTTTTTCTTTCAGACAGTTAAAACTTGGAAAAGTTACCTTTTTTTTTTTTTTACAGATGGCTGGGATATTTAATTTGCTCCAGCAATACAGACTGGAGTCCTACTACAACCAGTTTCTGCAAATGGGTGTGAAAGATGAGAGGGATTTCCTGGATGGAATCACTGATGAGGATTTGTACAGCATGGGTAAGTTTCTAGAAGACATCACACTAGTGATGGTGAGATGAAGCCTCATGAGGCTTTGAACCATTTGGCCAAATTGCTTCAACGATCCCAACAGTTCATGAGGCTCCATGTGAACATGTCGCCACCTTCTGGTTGAGTGCAGAACTACAGTTTGTAATAAAATCTGATTTTTTTTTTTTTTTCAGCTTTTAAGTTCCTTTGAAATTGTTAATGGTTGGTGTGTATGATAAAATCTATAAAAAAAAATTTAAGTGTACAGTTTTTTAAAATAATCTTTTAAGGTGCACTGTTTTTCTGCCAATTTAGTGAAATAAACTGAAGCAGTCAGTGAGAGTGTTAGTGCAAATTGTGCAATGATGAGCAAAATGAAGGTGTTTTTATTCAAACATAGTTTTTCCAAATTTTTTAGTTTTAATTGGGTTGGAAGTTGTGTTCAAACAATCTTTTGGCTAAACCGACCTAATTTGGCAGTGTTTTTACCCTATCTATATTTTTACTAGGGGAAACCAATGAAATTTAGCCTTATTAGCCAAAATAATTATAATCGCAACTTTCAAAAGTCGACCTCATTCTCAGGAGAGGGAGTCTGTATCTTACAGTTGACGCCACTTATGTGTTTAACTGTTCAATGGAAAGTTCAAAGGAATAGTTTTAAGCAACTGGATTGGTTGGAAAAACGGCCAATCTATTCTTAGAATCTATCCAGTTGACAGCAACCCTCCTACAAACTCCTACACATCTTGACTGAATCCTGAGGCTGTTTAAATGCCTGTCAAAATTCTTGCACTTCCCGAAGCGGTCACGTGGTATCATGGTAGCGAGGCCTCTGACGTCATCAATTTTGGCCCATCCTCTAAATGAATCACGCCTATATATATATATATATATATATATATATATATATATATATATATATATATATATTCTTTTTATGTGGCTGAGTTTATCAGTGTGGCCCTAATTCATAACAGGTCATCTCTAGGCACTTTACAGGAAAGCAAGGTTAGTTTATACCAAATGGGGAACATTGTAATTTATTTAAATGTTTTATATGTCCACATTGCTGTAAGAAAATGTTCACACCTCTTAAATTTTACATTTTTACAAACTTGTGCTGATCTGTCAAAAAACTAAATCTCAATGAAATGCTTTGAAGTCTGTGGTTTTGTCCTTAAACAATGTAAAGTTTTTGTTATGTTGTGCTGTATTTGTGAAAATAATTTGTGTTGTTCTTAAGTGGATATCCCTTTTTGTTGTTGTTGTTCTTAGGTTTAAGTCATGTTGAAAAGAATCGTTTTCATACCATGAGAACCTTTATTCAAACACTCAGCGCATCACACCGTCAGGTTCAAAATGTGGCACCAGTGCAGCAGTCAGACTCCTTTTGTTTGTGGTACACCTATCCTAAATGTCCTGAACGGAAGCTGATAAAAGGTAGGAGGAAAAACAGGACCGCCTAATCATTTACTGTAAATGATACTATTTACATGGAACTGGTGAAGTAGTTATGATCGCTGCAAACACTACTTCCTCTTTAACATTTAAACAACAACTGATGTTATAGATATGGACCCGACTCAGAACACTGTAGAGGATTTGATGTTACGGATCTGTTACCTTGAAAAAGTTGCCAGCACCAAAGGAGTCTGTATATATACAGACGATGGGATGCCTCTGACGGATGATCCCTTCTTCAACACATGTGAGTAGATATAAACTCTTTATATCCGTTTGCTAGAACTGAAACAAAAAACCAACTGTAGAGCTAAAGGTCAAGAGGAAACAATAGATATAGTAACAGTAACCCATAGTAGACATTAATGGCACTCAGCTGCGAACGGCTTGTGAAGAAATTATACCTGTAGCACATATGGACTAAGTGATCATTAATCCGTATCACTGTCCCATAATGCTCCAAGGGGTCCAGAGTCAAATCAGTTCTAATAGCCTCTTTTCTTAGGTTTCTGAATTTTTGTTTTCATTTATTTTTTGGCTTATAATATTACAGCAACATTTTATTGATATGAGATATTAGAGACACTTGTTTGATACAATACCATGTGGAAAATTCATATTCTTTACGTGAATTGTTTTGTTTTCAGGGTCTTTTAAAGAGAGACATATCAAAAATGGCGACACACTCTATTGCATATTTACTCCCAAGGAAAACCTACAACAGGCCCCTGAAATGCCAAAGCAGAACCTTTGTGAAACAAATGGAACAGAAGTCATTCGATGCCACATTATGCTCAAGGTACTGATTGGTTAGCGGTCCACCAGCGACAGCCCTTTTGCTCCTTTTCAATCTTTGATTTTTGACTTTTTTTTTGTTTTGTTTTTTTTTATTCCCAAAAATAACAATTGGAAAAACCAAAATCAGTAATCAGAATATTTGTTTTCTTATCTCCTTGATTTGAAATTGTTTTTGGTTTTTTTTCCAAATTACAGTGATATCACTGTATGCTTGAAAAGAACCTTTTCATAAGAAGATAAAATATGTAGGGGGGACATTTTTAAACTTCTCTTCAGTATTTTAGATTGGAGACAATGGCTCTGTTCGAAAACCTAGGACGGGTCCTCCAAGGACGCGGTCTACCTAGACTGGATCCTTCGAGGTCCTTGAAAATAAGGAGACCGGAAGGGTTCTGGCTGTGAATTCGACCAGGTCTACCCTTCGGCGGGTTTTACCACCGTATGCTCTGTTGCTTAGCAACCGTGAACGTTGACACACAAAGCAGGAAAAGAATGAATACAGAAGTTTTCAAAACTGTTTATTTATTTCTTTTTTATTGTGAAGTGAACAAAGACTACACTCACAAGAATCCAGAGTGGAATAAAGATTCCAACCACCGGGAGCAGGAACAAATCAAATCAAATGTAATGATAGAAACCTTAGTCAGTTAAATAACATGCTGCTGTCATTCTGCACATCTTTGATGTTGCTGCTATTTTCAAATATCCATTACTGTCAAAAAGTCCATAGCTGCATATTGGTTTTTTTATTCCCCAGTTTTATATTGTTAAAACACTTTCTAGTATTTTATTGTTTATATTTTAACTCTTCCCTATTATGTTATTCTTATACATTTTTCTAAGGTCCACATTTCTGTGACCATTTTCAATAATCTTTCTGCTGCTGTAAATTTTCCCATTGTGGGAAAATAAAGGGATTTTCTATTCTATTCTATAAAAGGGGTAGAAAGATATAAGTAAATCTAAACAATATATTTATAAAAAATATATCTGCAAAATCTCTAATATTCAACAACATAAAATACGAAGTTAAGCATATTGTGCAAAACAGCAATAAAAAGATAAAAATCCTATCAGATTTATAGTCCCCACCCTGCAGATATATTAGAATCTGTCCTTAAATTACAGCCAAACCCATTTACACAGTAACAGATAAAAACCTTTGGATAAATCAAACATTACCGCCACATATCTGACTCAGTAACCATTAAAACAACTATTTTCATTCATTTCAGACGGAACTATTCACAGTTGTATTATATTAAACTGAACTTCCAATTTTCACCACTGTTCGGCGCCAAGTAACCTTTACTCTGATCACAGCTTGCTTGGTCTCGCAATGAATCCTGGGATATCCAAGAATACCGAGGATACATCGGACCCGTCCTTCAAATCGGGCAAAAAGAAGGACGCATTTTAAGGCCGCATAACGAGGACTCTTGGAATCCGACCAGACCTCGGCGCCGCGCTATGACGTAATCGGCCTTCGAATCCGGTCTTCTAAGGATGCGTCCTAGGTTTTCGAACAGAGCCTAAATCTGTGTGCATTCCGTGATAGTGCAGATCCTGACCTTTACTTTGAGGCTTTCAACATTTTCAAACCCAGCATGTTCAATTAAAGAGCTTAAAAGATAAAAAAAAAATAAAAATATAGATATATGTTACTGTTTTGCCCTCTCCATTTTAATATTTTTAATACTTTACTGATATGAGTATCAAGTCAAGTTGGATTGCCATATATATATACAAATATCTTTAATCTCATTCTGTAATTTATGCTCACATTATGATTCACTTTTCAGAAAAAGAACAGTAAACCCACCAGACAGGACCCATCAGACTGCTAAATAGCAGTGTGCACTTACCACAAAGTTCCTTGGTATATCTCTAGTTTTAATAAAGTGACAGTGGGTACGGAAAGTATTCAAGCTCCTTCAAATTTTTTACACTTTGTTTCATTGTAGCCATTTGCTAAAATCAATAGTTTATTTTATTTCTCATTAATGTGCACTCCATGTTAACAGAAAAAAAAAACAGATGTAGAAATGTTTTCAAAAAAAAAAAAAAAAATACAAATAAAAACTGAAATTACATTGTCAAAAGTATTCAGACCCTTTGCTCAGTATTGAGTAGAAGATCTCTTTGAGCTAGTAAAGGCATCAGTCTTCTTAGGAAGGATGCAACAAGTTTTTCACACCTGCATTTGGGGATCTTCTGCCATTCTTCCTTGCAGATCCTCTCCAGTTCTGTCAGGGTGGATGGTGAATGTTGGTGGACGGCCGTTTTCAGGTCTCTCCAGAGGTGCTCAGTTGGATTTTGTTCAGGCCTCTGGCTGGGCCAGTTAAGAATGGTCAGAGTTGTTCCCAAACCACTCCTGTGTTATTTTAGCTGTATGCTGAGGGTCGTTGTCTTGTTGGAAGATGAACCTTTGCCCCATTCTGAGGTTCTGAGCTCTCTGAAGGTTTTCTTCCATGATATCTCTGTACTTTTTTTTTTATTTTTATTTTTTTTTATAACTTTATTTTTATTTTGATCGTTATTAACAAACAATACATAGAAACTATAATAGACAAAAAGTACAGAACAATCGAAGCAAAAAACAAAAAACAGGGGGAGACTCGTATTTTAGTAACTCAAAACACATGGGGACCATCCATTTCCAAAATTAGTCTGGTATCGTTGATGTGAAGTTTGTCCATTTTTCCCATTTGTCTAAGCATTGCTGCTCCTGCGTCCTCAGCCTATGTGTTAGAAGCTCCATCTCAAATAGTGAGATCACAGTCTGTATCCACTCCTTTGTGGTAGGAGGTTCAGATTTGCGCCACCTCCTAGTTATCACCTTTTTAGCTGCCACCAACAGAATTTTTAACAAATAACAATCATTATTAAATGTGATATTGTCCAAAAGACCAAGGTATAATACCAGACCGGACTTGGGTATTGAGTAAGCCAGTATTGTTACAATCTTACTGTGTATTTCGTTCCAGAACTGAGTAATTTTAGGACAAAGCCAGAAAATATGCGCGTGATTAACATTAAATTCTCCACAATCTCTCCAGCATGGCTGAGCTCTAGATTTGAATTTACTAGTAATTTTGGGTGTTATATAAAATCTGATTATATTCTTCCAACAATGTTCTCTCCAGATTCTGGAAGAGGATGTTGTAGTTTGGGTCTTCCAAATATTCAGCCAGCCTTCGTCGGTTATTAGAATATCAAATTCCCTTTCCCATTTTGTTTTAATATTCAATGTATTAGTGCCTCTATTTTCTAACAGATATTTATAGAGTAAAGACACTGTTCTTTGTTTTTTACCCTTATAGGTCTCAATCAGCATTTTGATAATCCCATTTACATTTGGGTCTATTTTTTGTTTTATTTCTTTGTTATAGAAGTCCCTTAATTGTAGATATCTAAAGTGATCTTGAGTTCTTAGAGCAAACTCTTGCTGTAGTTCCTGGAAACTTTTAAAGTGCCCATTGTTAAGGACTACGCATAACGCTGTTAAGCCTCTTTACCTAGAGAAAAACTAGTAATGGCATTAACATTCTTTAATGTATTCTTAGTGGTCTCTATATCACCAATGATACTCCGCAGTTCTCTTCCATTAACTCTTTGTTAAATATTTTTCCATTTCGCTTCATAATTTATGTCACTTATATTTATTATGGGAGTTATTTGGGCAGCATGATAATATTTTCTAAGGTCAGGTAAGGCCCTACCTCCTTTCTCCTTTGGTATATGTAAAGTTTCAAATTTTATTCTGGGTTTTTTACCGTTCCATATGAATCTAGAAATAATCTGGTTCCATGTTTTAAACTGTCTATCCGGGATTTCTATAGGTAATGCCAAGAAGAGGTACAATAACCTTGGTAACATGTTCATTTTTATCGCTTCAATTCTGTAGCTGAAGTCTAGTGTTAGGACATCCCACTTTCTAATATCCCTCCTAATTTCTTGGTCCACTTTAGTAAAGTTAGCTTTGTACAGATCACCTATGTTTTTCGTTAATCGTATTCCTAGGTAAGTCATTATAGTAGAGCTCCAATTTAAATTATATTTTCTACGTATTGATTCAGATGGTGTATAAGCGAATGTCAAAACCTGTGTCTTTTTCAAATTTAGTTTGTATCCTGAATAGAAGCCAAATATCTCTAACTGGTTGATCAGACAAGGCAGCGAGTTTTCAGGGTCTGATAAATAACAAATAACATCGTCTGCAAACAAACCTATTATATGGGACTCATTATGAATATCTATACCTTTAAGATCCTTATGTTGTCTTATGTGTTGTGCAAGTGGCTCAATAAAAATTGCAAATAAAGTTGGTGACAAACAGCAGCCCTGACGGGTAGAGCGCTCTAGTTTTATATTGTCAGTTAGATTTCCATTAATCTTGATTCTGGCCACAGGTGACTGATACAAAGTCCTCACACACTGTACAGCTTTTTCATTAAAGCCAAATTTTCCAAGTGCTTTATATAAGAAGTTCCAGCCTACGCTGTCAAAAGCTTTCTCTGCATCGAGACTGATTAAGATAGCTGATGATTTTTTATTTTGAATATGGTCTATTATGTGAAGTGCCCTCCTGATGTTATCTCGCGTTTGGCGACCCTTAATAAATCCTGTCTGGTCCTCATCTATGATATCTCCAATGAATTGCTCAAATCGCTTCGCTAAAATCGAGGTATAGATTTTATAGTCCATGTTTAGGATAGATATTGGTCTATAATCAGAGCATGTTTCACTCTTCCTTTTTTTCGGAATGACTGTTATGATTGCTTCTCTCCAAGATGGCGGGAGCACTGCATGTTCCAGTGTATAATTAAATGATTTTTCTAGTAGTGGGAGGAGATCTTCGCTGAAGGATTTGTACCACTCAGATGGCAATCCATCACTTCCTGGTGTTTTACCATTTTTTAATCTATTAATTGCCTTTTGTATTTCTATCCTAGTTATATAGGAAGTGAGAAGTTTATTTTGGGTTTCACCAATTGAGGGCAGATCCAGTGACTCCAAGAAGGTTTCTATCTGTCCATCATTAGCAGAGGGAGGCTGACTGTATAATCTCTGGTAGTATTTCCTAAACCTGTCCTCAATAGTTGCTGGGTCATGTAACATTTGATTTGTTTCATCATCCTTTAATTTATAGATATGTCTGACTGTTGCTTTTTCAATTTCTTTGCCAACAGTTTTGTTCCTTTAGGTCCCACCTCATGATATGATTGTTTAATAAACTTTGATTTCTTTTCAATTTCATATGTAAGCATTTTATCAATGTTGTTTCTTAGTTCTTTTATTTTTATTAACAGGTTGGGATTTTGGGTTAATTTGTGTTGTCTTTCCAGATCTGTTAGTTGAGCTCTTTCTTTTTCATAGGCATCCACTCTAGATTTCTTAAAGGCCGCTGTTTTTGAGATAAATTTTCCTCTTAATACTGCCTTAAGTGCATCCCATAATATCACCGGATTAACCTGTCCATCGTCATTCTCTTCTATGTAAGTTTTTATATCGTGGGAAATTCCGGCTTTGATTGTTTTGGAGTTCAACAAGCCTACATTTAATCGCCATGCTGTTTTGCGTTTTTCAGAAGATAAATTTAGTTTTATTATTAGCGAGGAATGATCAGATATACTTGTTTCTTCTATTTTACATTCCTTTATCTTATATATATCAGATTTATTCATGAAAAAGTAATCAATTCTAGAATAACTTTTATTAGGCGCTGAGTAATGGGTATAGTCCTTTACATTGGTGTTTAATTCCCTCCAGACATCAACAAATCCAAATTCCTCAAGTGTCAATTTAAATTTTTTTGTAGTTGAATTTTGTTGTTTTTTACTATTTGTTGTATCAAGTTTTGTGTTTAATACCATGTTGAAATCCCCTCCCCAAACCAACATTCCCTCTGTTTCCATAATTATTTTGTTGAGGAGGCTATTAAGGAATTGTTTATTACTATTTGGAGGATTGTAAACGTTGACCAGTGTCACCATTACATTGTCTAGAGTCCCCTTCACCATCACATACCTCCCCTCTTTATCTGACAGATCATAGCTACAATCAAATTTTATTGAATCATGAATTAGAATTGAAACTCCTCTTTTGTTTCCATGTCTGAAAGAGCTGTAAAATACCTTTGAGTAGCCAAAGCCCCTGAGTTTTTTGTGTTCCGATTTAGACAGATGCGTCTCCTGTAAATAGATTACCTGTGCTTTCTCTTTTCGCATTTTAGTTAGAATTTTTTTACGTTTTATAGGATTATTCATACCATTCACATTCAACGAAACTATCTTGATAATATCAGTCATTATTTAGTTTTGTAAGGTCACCGTGTGATTCTAGAAAAAGATCCCCCAACAAATAGCTGAACAGGCTATTAAAAACCAGATGAACAAATAGAACAGAATCTTCCAAAGGTGGAGATGTGTGAAAACATCCCTCAGTGTCCCTGCTGGTGGGGTGGGGGCAAAGTACCACACTAGGGTGGGGGCCCCCTCTAGTAGTAGACGGAGATCTACCTGTACTAGGTAAGTCCAACATTTGGTAAGCGCTACAACATTCACTCCTTTCGGCACTTTGTTTAAATATCTATCAAAAGACCTATGAGCAATAACTTCAGTAACAGAGGGGAGGATAATATCCAAAACAGGACTAAAACCAGCTGGTAAAGACATTCAGCTCTTAAATCGCCCGTACGTTACTTTAATTTTTTTTTTTTTTTTTTTTTTTAATAGTAGAGCAAACCTGTTATGATTCAATGTTCAGAGTTACTGGTCCTCACGTCTGAACTCTGTGAGCCTCTCCCTCGCGCGTTGTCCTGCACCGGTGTTGTTAATCCGTTTCCATGGTAACAGTGAGTCGAGCCTCTCCTTGGTCACTTTCAACTTGTTCTCTCTTGGTACCCAGGTCAAGTCGAAGCCTCTCTTGATCATATCCGACGCTGCTTCATCTGCGTTCTGGTAGGTCCGCACTCCAGAGTCCCAGAAGATTCTCATCTTTGTGAATGGCGTCTGGAATCTGACGCCCTTCTGCTTCAAGGCTGCCTTTAATGGGCCATATGCTTTACGTTTTTCTATAACGTCCGAAGCATAATCGTTATCAAAGTAAAGGAGCTTGCCCTCCATCTCCACTTTCTGTTCCCAGGCTTTCCTCAGAACCATTTCTTTTGTGTTGGATTGCAAGAAATTCACAATTATAGACCTCGGGGCCGCATTGGGAGGCGGTCTGGGTGCCAGAGCTCAGTGTGCCCGCTGAATCTGTGGTTCAGTTCCTTCCGGAAGCTTCAGCTGTTTGATCAGCAGATTGGCGACAAACTCGGAAACCGATCTACCTTCTTTACCTTCTGGAACTCCATAGATGCGAAGATTATTTCTCCGGCTTCGGCTCTCCAAATCCACAAGTTTGTCGTTCATAGCTCTGTTGCTTTCTAATGACACAAGCAGCGCATCTTTCATTTCCAAGCACGCCGCCTCCAGATCAGCTATTCGAGTCTGCGCCTCGTTGATACTGCCCTTCTGGTTCTGCAGTTCGCGCATCATTTCCTCCCTGAATCTGTTGAAATCTTCTTTCATTGTTGCCTTTACATCTTCTTTGAGTTCTTCTATGTCTTGCTTCATCTCGTTTTTAAACTCTTTTAAGTCTTTAGAAAGCATCTTGATACTCTCCATCAACGCGTGCTGTTGTAAGCCAACGCTAGCTTTGCTCGTAGCAGCGTTAGCCTCATCCTCACTACCATCTCCCGACTGCGCACCAAAATCTTGTGTTTTAGACGTCTTCTTTTCGGTCTTGTAAGTTTTCGGCATCTTCCCCCTTTAAATGGTTTAGACTGAAGTTTTGATAGTTGTCTGAAATAAGCAAGGGGGGAGATTTAAATACCGAAACGGAGGAGCCTGTTCCTACGTGGCCATCTTGTTGCAGCGCTGACCCGGAAGTGATATCTCTGTACTTGTTCATGTTATTCATCTGTCCTTCAATTGTTTCCAGTTATCCTGTCCCTGCAGCTGAAAAACACCCCCACAGCATGACGCTGCCATCACCATGTTGCACTGTTGGAATTGTATTGGGCAGTTTATGAGCAGTGCTTGGTTTTTCTACTCGCATACCGCTTAGAATTATTGCCAAAAAGTTAAATCTTGGTCTAATTAAACCAGGGAATCTTCTTTCTCATAGTCAGGGAGTATTTCATGTGTTTTTTAGCAAACACTATGTGTGCTTTCTTTGCACTGAGGAGAAGCTCCTATCGGGCCACTGAGTAGTGGAGTTTCTGCAGTGATAGATAACTTTGTGGAACTTTCTCCCTACTGCATCTCTAGAGCTCAGTGACGGTGATCTTTGGGGTATTATTTACCTCTCTCACCAAGTATTTTCTTCCATGATTGCTCAGTCGGCTGGCTTGACGGCCAGGTTTAGGTCTGGTCATCCCAAACTTCTTCCATTTAAGGATTATGGAGGCCACAGCACTCTTAGGAGCTTTGAGTGCCGCAGAAATTCTTTTGTAACCTTGGCCAGATCTGTGCCTTGCCATAGTAGTGTCTCTTAGCTCCTTGGGCAGTTCCTTTGACCTCATGATTCTCATTTGCTCTGACATGCACTGTGAGCTATAAGACCTTATATAGACAGGTGTGTGCCTTTCCTTATCAGTTCATTAAACACAGCTGGACTCCAATGAAGGAGCAGAACCATCTCAAGGAGGATCAGAAGAAATGAACAGCACGTGAGTTAAATATGGGTGTAACAGCAAAGTGTCTGAATACTTGAAACCATTTGATATTTCAATTTATTCTTAATAAAATCTGGAAAGATTTTAACTTTTTTTTCTCTTTTTTTCTGAGTGTACATTATTGAGAAATGAAATACATTTTTGTAATTTTTAGCAAATGGCTGCACTGAAACGAGTGGAAAAATTTAAAGGTGTCTGAATTTTTCATTCATTTTCATTTCATTTTTCATTCTTTCATTACCCACTGTATTTAGCTTAGATTAAATATCATGTACATATGACTGCATTGCTTCTGAAAGGGAATGTACAACATTTTATGTTTGACTGCCTTCTTTACTCATTAAGGGATACTTTGAGATCCTTGTGGACCTGGAAAAGGACACATTAGAAACCCTGATACACAAGCTGTCAAATATAAGCGGTGTCCCAGCACATGTCCTTCATTACAGGTAATTCTACTTAAATGCGTGTTCATACAGCATGGACCTCTCTAAGGTTTTTAAATATTGTTTCTGTGGCTTTCCTAAGTATGTTAACTATTTTGTCGTATGCATGTTTATTATTATTGTCCCAGACGAAAAGACTCCATCAGCGACACGCTGCAGAAATGTGGGATTGCTAAAGGGTCAACCGTTTCCTTTAGTTTGTCATCTCATTCTGAAGACGATACATACCATAATACGTTCTACAACGATGTCGTGCCTTCAGTGTCGCAAACCCTGAAGGGAATCAGTGTGTTTTTCTCATGTCTATATACTATTGTGAGAAAATTTTTATTTTTTTTCTGTATGTGCATGTTTGCTCTAAACCCATAAACTGTAAAGGCAGCCGTGGGTTTCAAGTGTCCTAACTTTTTTCTTTTATATTTAAATTATATTTTCAGGCAAAACATGCAGATGTGCCCCGCAAAAAGTTGTTTGCCTACATAAGAAAACTGACTGGATGTAACCCTCTCATCCAGAGTTTGCATCAACTGCAAAGAAATGAATGTTTGAGCAAAAACCAGAAGGTAAGCAGTAGAACGTACTTTAAGTTTGCTGTTGTTGAATGAATCCTTTCTGAACTACACTACCGTTCAAAAGTTTGGCGTCACCCAAACAATTTTGTGTTTTCCTGAAAAGTCACACTTATTCACCACCATATGTTGTGAAATGAATAGAAAATAGAGTCAAGACATTGCCAAGGTTAGAAATAATTATTTGTTTGTTTTTACATCAAACTTTGCTTTCGTCAAAGAATCCTCCATTTGTAGCAATTCCAGCATTGCAGACCTTTGGCATTCTAGCTGTTAATTTGTTGAGGTAATCTGGAGAAATTGCACCCCACGCTTCCAGAAGCAGCTCCCACAAGTTGGATTGGTTGGATGGGCACTTCTTGCGTACCATACGGCCAAGCTGCTCCCACAACAGCTCAATGGGGTTCAGATTTGGTGACTGCGCTGGCCACTCCATTACCGATAGAATACCAGCTGCCTGCTTCTGCTCTTAATAGTTCTTGCACAATTTGGAGGTGTGTTTAGGGTCATTGTCCTGTTGTAGGATGAAATTGGCTTCAATCAAGTGCTGTCCACTGGGTATGGTATGGCGTTGCAAAATGGAGTAATAGCCTTCCTTATTCAGAATCCCTTTTACCCAGTACAAATCTCCCACCTCACCAGCACCAAAGCAACCCCAGACCATCACATTACCTCCACCATGCTTAACAGATGGCGTCAGGCAATCTTCCAAAATCTTTTCATTTGTTCTGTGTCTCACAATCGTTCTTCTTTGTGATCCAAACACCTCAAACTTGGATTCATCCGGCCACAACACTTTTTTCCAGTCTTCCTCTGTCCAATGTCTGTGTTCTTTTGCCCATCTTAATCTTTTTCTTTTATTGGCCAGTCTCAGATGTGGCTTTTTCTTTGCCACTCTACCCTGAAGCTCAGAATCCAGCAGTCGCCTCTTCACTGTAGACGTTGACACTGGTGTTTTGCAGGTACTATTTAATGAAGATGCCAGTTGGGGACCTGTGAGGTATCTGTTTCTCAAACTAGAGACTCTAATGTACTTATCTTCTTGCTCAGTTGTGCAACGTGGCCTCCCACTTCTTTTTCTACTCTGGTTAGAGCCTGTTTGTGCTGTCCTCTGAAGGGAGTAGTACACACAATTGTAGGAAATGTTTAATTTCTTAGCAATTTCTCATATGGAATAGCCTTCATTTCTAAGAACAAGAATAGACTGTCGAGTTTTAGATGAAAGTTCTCTTTTTCTGGCCATTTTGAGCGTTTAATTGACCCCACAAATGTGATGCTCTAGAAACTCAATCTGCTCAAAGGAAGGTCAGTTTTGTAGCTTCTGTAACGAGCTAAACTGTTTTCAGATGTGTGAACATGATTGCACAAGGGTTTTCTAATCATCAATTAGCCTTCTGAGCCAATGAGCAAACACATTGTACCATTAGAACACTGGAGTGATAGTTGCTGGAAATGGGCCTCTATACACCTATGTAGATATTGGACCAAAAACCATACATTTGCTGCTAGAATAGTCATTTACCACATAAGCAATGGATAGAGTGTATTTCTTTAAAGTTAAGACTAGTTTAAAGTTATCTTCATTGAAAAGTACAGTGCTTTTCCTTCAAAAATAAGGACATTTCAATGTGACCCCAAAATTTTGAACGGTAGTGTACAATGTCACTATTTAAAGAATTTCTATTGGAAAAGTAGGTGAAATTTATAATTGGTCCCATTTTTCTCCATTATATTTTTTTTCAGCTTATGCATGTTAAAAAAATTATTCATGGGGATTTTTACATTATTAACATAAATTGCTGTTTTGCTATATAGTTAAGGGAGATCTAGACCCAAGCCTTGGTTAGCTCCTCCCCTTAGTCCATTATCTGCTTATCTTCTGACATAGAATTGCTAAATGAGTGTGATGTTTTAAGCAAGGCAGTAGCTGCTAATCCTGCATTTGCACACAAAGTGGAGAAATTGTATAACGGTACAATTTCGATCTTTCCTGCGCTCACACGGGGAAGATCGATCACACTCACCTTCTCGCTCACCCTATGATGTGGAGGTAGTCTGGCAGAGAAGTGACAGTTTCCTCCTGTGAACCTGCTTTTATACCAAAACTTCAGTGTGCTTCAGCGTACTCGTAGCTTATACAAAACGTATTCATAACTTATCCAACATATGCCAGCATTTTTGCCAGATTTTCCGTACGTCAGGCATACGCTGAAAAAAATAAAGGTGTGAACGTGGCTAGAGTAAGATAGCATTTTATTTTATTTTTTTTGTGCAGTGTTAATGTTATAAAGAACTGATTTTAATTCTATTTTTAACCAAGTTTGTCATGCTGGCTGCTATTTTTGGTCTATCATTACTATAAACCAAAAGCAACAAACATTAAAGCTTTAAACTAAATATTTGAGGTAAGCTACAACAGTTTTGCAGATATTGCAGCTCAAATCTTTAAGGTTGTTTAAAACAATGTCATTAAAATACAGTGGCGGGCCGTGCATTTCACACCTAGGCCTTAGGTAGAGCTATGTCTGACTCAATCCAACCCTCAATAACTATTTTATGGTTATACAACTTCTACTGAAGGTACAGCTGCGACACACATAAAAAATAATAAAAAAATTTACCTGATAAAATTGCAACATTAATTAGAAATATAGTAACATTTTACTTACCAAAAATCCTGATTATTTGTACACAAAATCCATCCTCCTTTCTTTCCTCAAGAAGATTTCAATAACTCTGTTGTGCAGATTATCCGTGCGTTTCTGTTCCATCAAGAAGTCCTTTTCTATCGCCATCAAAGCTAAAGCTGAAAGTCGAGCCTGCCCTGTCGTATTTCTGGCATAAGTTTTAATTCGCTTAAGGGCTGAGAATGTCCGTTCAACAGAAGCAGTAGACACGGGGATGGTCACCGCCAAACACACAAACGTGTATAGCTGCCTCATGCTCTCATTGGGATTTTTCTGCTGAAGGAAGTCAAGGAGATCAGTGGGAGATTTTCCTGCAAAATCATCCATGGCATACATTACAGTTAGTTCTGTTCTTAGCCGAGGTAGATCGAAAAGTATCCCCTGACTCTGTGCTAAGCTGGAAAAGTCGCATGAGGAAAATTTTTCTGGTATTCCTGAAACTTCTGGGGGTCGAGGAGGGTGACAAAGATCAGTTTTTCGTGGTCTTGAAATCTGGTCTGTGTCTGGCAAATATTGTACAGAATCCTGCCGCGGAGTTGGTGGTAGTGGGCGAGGATCTTGCGCTGGACCTCTTTGTGCGCTCGGAGCACCCGCGGTGCGTTCAGTGACCTCGTAGATTTCCTCGTACCGGTTCCTCTCTCGCTCAACGGTGTCACAAAACTCCTTTACTCTTGCCAGACAAAACTGTTCATCCAGTTTTGTGTCCTGTAGTATTGAAAAGAGCACATCTGAGTACTCAAAAATGCCATTAAATGTGTGAAGCAAAAAACAACTAATTGATAAAATCGATAAAAATCGACTTTTAAAAGCGTTGGCAACGAATTTCATCATCGATTAGTTGTGTCGCGCGATTAATGCGTTATTCGCCGCCGTCGTCATCACTGCCACTCGATTGAAACGGGGGAAGAAAAAAAAAATACGGCAGAGTGAGCCAGTGCCGCAGGTGAGCAAAGGCTGTTTTCAAAAGGCAGAAACGTCAACTGTTCTAATGACCGATGCCGCAAACGCAAGCTGCGTCTCAATTCGCATACAGCCTGCGCTTCGTAAAGCCAAAAAATTCGTAACATTCAACTTTTGTAAAAACAAATTAACATGGCACGCAAGCACCACTGTTATGATGCAGCACCTGAAAAGGAAACACGTTGGAGCCTTCGATGGCAGTGAAGAGAGCTGATCAGTTTCGTTTTAAAGTGGGGAAACGTAACGTTAGTTTCTCAGGTAGCTCATCTGATGCTTTCCTTACCTTGTTAGTAGGTTACAGACAGTGATAAGGTTGGCTACTTATTTTACTTTTAATTTTATTTGAATTAGCTTAAGCAGTGTTTATATTTCTTTATAAATAAATTAATTTGCAAATGATGATGGCAAGGCTTTTAAAGTTTAAATCTTCTGGCAAAGATAAAGTAAAGAAGATCCTGTATTTTATGGAAGTGAAGTGATAGGTCAATTAATTATATGCCACACATGTGCGTATTTAGGAGTTGTAATGGGGGAGGCAAAAATTAACAATCAGTTGCCTGCCACTTAATGCAGATTGTTTCAAATTTAGATTGGGGCCCAGGACTTAACATTTTACACAAATTTCTTTTATTACTGCTTGATTTAATTTTATTTTACTGTATGTTTGGGACTACTGTGCAAGGCATAGTTTGGGAATAACATTAGGAAATGCTTTTTTTTCCGCCAGCTAATTGTTGTACTGTGTGTTTTGTGTGTTTTTAAGAGCAACACTAAGATGTCCTAACTGATCTTCTCCAGATTGCAGTTGTTGAGGGATTGTACATGCTCTTCAGAGAGCTTTTACCCAAGCAAGGATCGCAGAGAGGGGAAAAATCCATCGGGGATCGCAACGTCTTTGAGAACTCTTTGTACTGCTGGGCACATCTCATTGACAAAGCAAAAGTATTCCAATTATTGAGTTTTACAGTCTTATTTTGTTTTTTAAGCTGGTTATGGTTTTGTCCATATTCCTTTTAATTTTCTGCAGAATTTATTAGAAATTTTAGCTGGTGTCATTGATATTTAAAAATGGTGTCCCACATCTACAGGATGTGACATCCGAGTATGAAGTCTTTGCTCCAATCGATCTCGTTTCCCAAGAAGCTAACCATTTCTGCGAGCCAGTCAGAGTCCCAGGAGTACCAACTGTTTTCGAAAGAGCAGATGTTCTCGAAAAAATCAGCGGTACTTCTTTTTTTTTTTTTTTTGTAGGATAGTTTTTTCTCCATTCTTGCTATTTTTCTGCCTGTTTGATTTTCCTTGCTACCCTTCCTCTTACCTACCTTGTCTTGTTTTTTTTTTCTCCCCTTTTTTGTGTTGTACCTCCTTGCTTTTTTTTCTTTCCTTTTGGGAAGTGTTTACGCTAAAACCCAGCTTGCAGTTCTCAGTATTAAAAAAAACAACAACAAAAAAACTGCTCCACTATTTAACAAATCTCAAACTGTCTTTAAACCAGATGGAGTTAAAATCCCGAATTGCACTGAGGAGCCATTGCGTGAGTGTTCACTGCAGAGAGCAGCTGATGTGGAGAAGATCCTTCTCAGCATGCCTCGGTATTTCCGCACATATCCCCTCTGGATCTATCAGGATAAGGTGTCTGGCCAAAAGTATGCATCTTTCAAACCTTTCTTTTAACAGAATGAAAATATGTTCAGATGATTTTAAGAAGAGTTTTTTTATGAAGGTTATTTTGTCTTTTTTTTTTTTTTTTACACCTGTTCAAATTTTAAGTACAAGTACACAAATTCTGTTCTACAAGTTGCTCATAAAAAATCTCTTACATGCTCCAAATGGTCCAGTTTTTTTTACACCAGTTGTTGTTGATGTATCCATTACTGAAATGCAAGTTTCTCAACCTTCGTAAGATGTTATAGACCAATTTGAGCAGTTTCAAATTATGCTGATAACAGTACAGGTTATCCTCTCTTTACGTTGATGAAAGTTTTAACTTTTTGTCATATCTTTTGTCACCTTTAGTCCACTCTGTATTCTCATGAGTGTAGTCTTTTTTTTTTTTTTGCCTGATAAACCAGACTAAATGTGAGATTAAATGTCTAATTTAGTCTGGCCCCAATGAATGAGATATCAGAAGATTGTTGAGAACTACCTGTTGTCTTTCAAACCGCTGTCCATGCCTATTGAACCAGGCGCTCTTACCATTGAGCGCAGCTGACTGTGATGTAGTAAGCGCGACAGAAAGCTGGTGGGGGAGTGTAAACAAACAGCCTGTCGGTAAAACGACGAATACGTCCTTCTTTAAAAAGAATGAGCGTAGAGCAGGGTCGGGCAATTCCAGTTCCTGGGGGCCGGTATCCTGCAACTTTTTGATCCATCCTTGGTCCATCACACCTGAATCAGATGGTTGAGTTACCTCCTCAGTAGGCAGTAAGTTCCTCCAGGGTCCTCTCAATCATCTAATGACTTGATTCAGGTGTGTTGATCCAAAGGCGCATCTAAAAGTTGCAGGATACCGGCCCTCAGGAACTGGGATCGCCCACCCCTGGCGTAGAGCCTCCTTCTGCTCACGTTTCAGAGAAAAACCCAAGTCTAATTCCAAAGCTGAGTCAAAAAAGAACTGTTCAATTGTTGTTGCCATCTTCCATGTTGTGCTTTCTCAAGCGTCATGCAGTTTTTTTGTCTTGCCCTCAAAACCGCTTTGCAACCAAAAATTAAAAACACATCTTTGCGTTGTGATTGGCCCGCCAGTTCTAGGGCATGGGGAATGGATCGAGACTAGACCACTCGCAGGCAAAAATGATTTTGGCTGCTGGCAGGTGGAGTTAGTTTACTAGGCTAGTCTTTGTTCACTTTATTAAAACAAGGGGGAAAAAACTGTTTTGAAAAATTCGGTATTCACTCTTTTCCTGCTTTGTGTGTCAACTGTCACGATTGCTAGCGAACAGAGCGTACGTTGGTAAAAGCCGCCGAAGGCTAGACCTGTTTGAATTCACAGCAAAAACTCTTCCGGTCTCTTTATTTTCTCAAACTTTGAAGGATCGTTCGAAGGTCGTTGGAAGACGCAGCCGATGAATTCGAACGCAGCCAACATGGCCAACAGATTTTAAAAAATCTACAGTTACAATGCACAAATAGTTTTGCAACAATAGTTCTGGACCAAGAGTAATTTGATGAGCAACTTGTAGAACAGAATTTGTGTACTTGTACCTAAAATTTTAACAGGTGTGTGTTTTAAAAAAATAAAGATAAAATTCTACAAATACAAAACTTAGAACATAACTCTCTATACAAATTCACACTTACAATAAACAAATAATTGTGAAACAAAATAACTTTCATAGTTTTTAACCTTTGACTAAAGTGTTTATATTTCATAATAGATTTGCTACCTGTGTGCCTAAGTCGTCATTGTCATATGGTGTTTTATCAGGACATCAGTTTACTTTAATATGTTTAAAATGAGTGTAGTGTTTCCAAAAATACCCTAAGATTTGCTACCAGTTAATGCTGGAATGTTTAGTCCCACATCTAGGAGGACACACAGTGCCACCTTCTGGTGCAACTTTAAAATGTTACTTATGAACTGTTAGTCACACTGAACACCTACTCAAAAGTTAAGATTTGAAGCACAGGTTTTATTGAAAAAATGAAGGCGTAATGAAGGAAAGATACACAGGAAATATTTACGATCAGGCATGTGAAACACTTGTTTACTCACCCTTTTAAATTCCAGCTTTGAGGTCAATGTTGAATGGACATTTGGAAGCATGGTAGAAGGACTCAAATCTTTGCCTTGCCTCAACGTGATGTCTCCTCTACAGCTGAAGCATCTGGGAGCAACACAGAGTTACCTTGTTTTTCTAAGTGAAGGTATTCCACTCATATGAACCTCCATGAATTTCAGTCCAAGATCTAGGATTTAGAATAGACTGAATCCCAACTCTGTTTTACACCCTTTTCTCTGGTATTCTGTTTTTATTTTATAGCCTTAAAAAACTCCATACATTTTAATCTTATTTTTTACCTTTTTCGTCCTCTTAATCAGATAACCTTGGGATTTATCTGGGTAAGGGCAAAGGATCTCCAGATATGATCCAAGTGCAAGATTGTCTTACTGGAGAAGAAAACATGGTTGATCTAAATGTTTTGGCAGCCAAGTGAGTACTAAACATGATGCCGTGTTTTATTTAAAAAGGGTTTCTTTAGATAATGGGATAATGGCTATTAAACACTAGAGATGTGTTGGTTCATTATTTGATTACCCGGTTTGAATCTGCGGAGGTATTGTTTCTCAGATGGTTTACACAATGGAGGAAACATGTTTACGGATTAACGAAAATGATTTCAGTCGAGGTTAACACATCGTTGATAAAAGCAAAAACTGCAGAGAAATATCTCACCTTCTGTCTTAGGTCTTTTTACATCTTCATCATTCAGCTGGGGATCCCAGCACCAATGCCAAAGAGCCCCTGCATACATTCCAAATTTATCTAAAAGTCAGCCATGATGTGTCTACCCCAGAGCCCCAAGTCAGCATTTAGCCCCTCTCACACAGCCTACACTTTCACCGTATAAGGTTATGCCGGAGCCTCTCTGGCCGTCGTATGTCAGCATAAGAATGTCCATTTGGTTGATATACACAGAGGATTGAACAGATATAGAAATGAACAGATAAAACGGTTATTCAAAACAGAAAATAAAGAGAAATGAATCTTCAAGACATGGACAGATGCAGTTTAAGGCCGATGCCAATTATTTCGACATCAGTCTGTGATGTCAAAATAATGTGAAGATGCTCTGCTGACATTGTTAGGCAGGTTTCATGACAATTCACGGCTTACAAGGTCATCCAATGTGATTGAAAATGTTTTTTGTTTTTTTTTTATAAAGGACCGGTGACCACGGAGATAATAAAACATTTGTCACAAGCAGGACTCCAAAGGAAGCTATACTGGTAACGTTTAAAATACTGTTTACCTGCTGAAATAACTTAAGATAAACCCAAATGACTTGTTTAATTGTTGGTGATGATTCTCAGTCATCCAGGTCATAGTCATTCCAAAAAGTTAAAAAACAATCCACTGGTTTTCCAAGTTTGAAGAATTGTCCCAAAAACAAGACCTCCAAACCTAAGATGAGCGGAGAGGTTATGCATTGAGGAATGCTCTCATCTTTATATTGGAGAAACCAAAAAACCTCTCCACAGATGCATGACTCAACACAGATGAGCTACCTCCTCTGGACAAGACTCTGCTGTCCATTTACACCTAAAGGACAAAAGACATTCTTTTGAGGACCAGAATGTTCACATTTCGGACAAAGAAGACGGGTGGTTTGAAAGGGTTATGAAGGAAGCCATTTGTTAAGAGAGAAACATCAACCTTAAACAGAGGGGGTGGACTCAGGTTCCAGCTCTCAAAAGCCTACAACGCAGCACTAGAATTGATTCCTTCCTGCTCGCTATCATCTTAACCCCGTCGCCATGCAGGGGACAAAAACATCTTGCCTGGTCAGCCAGGCCAACAATGACCCAATGACCTTAACTACTCCACATCACTAAGGGGTGGACCTGTTCTTTTGGTTTAATTTGCATGTTTTCTAAGCGATAACAAGGCTTTGTTGGGCTACGCTGTAAAGCTTGGAACTTGACGCTAATCCAGACATTTTGAATTGAAAAAGCACCCTGGATAGGAAACAGAACATCTTTAAACTTGGGAAAACAAAGTCCAGTGGTTTGTTTTTTAACTTTTTTGTGTTTTTTTTTTTTTTCTAAATGGAAATTTGATCATTATTGACTGATTGATCAGGTACTAATGGATACCAGTTCATCCATGGAAGAGGAGTGCTATGAAAATGCACAAATACAGAAGATCAACGCTGTGAAGGAGCTTTTTGACAACTTTGCCACCAGAAGCATGGCCTATGATTTCCACCATATCATTGGTCTTGTAAAATTTGACTCCTTTGTGAAGACCCTGCATACATTTACTGAAAATCTGGAAGTGTTTAAGGTACAGCATTAATGCTACATCATTTATCAGCTACAAAGTTCTTGTTTTCCATTGTTTATCAAAATGCATCATCTACATTTTTTACGAAACGTTGCAGTCAAAAAGGACCTTATTCATTCCAGGTACTGCAGATTATTACATCTAAGTTCAAGAAAACAATGTAGTTTAATGCACACAATTGGTAATCCAAAAAAACAAAAAAAACAAGTGCTGTTTAAAAAGTAGGAGTTGTAGATGACAGATACAATTCGTACAGTTTAGAACCTTAAAATTCTATTCAGTGGTGATTAAATTCAATATTGCAATGTTTTCATATTGGTTGTAGAAGTGTGTGTGTGTGTATGTGTTTATGTGTATGTATATATATATATATATATATATATATATATATATATATACACTCACCGGCCACTTTATTAGGTACCCCATGCTAGTAACGGGTTGGACCCCCTTTTGCCTTCAGAACTGCCTCAATTCTTCGTGGCATGGATTCAACAAGGTGCTGGAAGCATTCCTCAGGGAGTTTGGTCCATATTGACATGATGGCATCACACAGTTGCCGCAGATTTGTCGGCTGCACATCCATGATGTGAATCTCCCATTCCACCACATCCCAAAGATGCTCTATTGGATTGAGATCTGGTGACTGTGGAGGCCATTTGAGTACAGTGAACTCATTGTCATATTCAAGAAACCAGTCTGAGATGATTCCAGCTTTATGGCATGGCGCATTATCCTGCTGAAAGTAGCCATCAGAAGTTGGGTACATTGTGGTCATAAAGGGATGGACATGGTCAGCAACAATACTCAGGTAGGCTGTGGCGTTGCAACGATGCTCAATTGGTACCAAGGGGCCCAAAGAGTGCCAAGAAAATATTGCCCACACCATGACACTACCACCACCAGCCTGAACCGTTGATACAAGGCAGCATGGATCCATGCTTTCATGTTGTAGACGCCAAATTCTGACCCTACCATCCGAATGTCGCAGCAGAAATCGAGACTCATCAGACCAGGCAACGTTTTTCCAATCTTCTATTGTCCAATTTCCATGAGCTTGTGCAAATTGTAGCCTCTGTTTCCTGTTCTTAGCTGAAAGGAGTGGCACCCGGTGTGGTCCTCAAAGTTCGCTGTACTGTGCGTTCAGAGATGCTCTTCTGCCCACCTCGGTTGTAACGCGTGGTTATTTGAGTCACTGTTGCCCTTCTATCAGCTCGAACCAGTCTGGCCATTCTCCTCTGACCTCTGGCATCAACAAGGCATTTCCGCCCACAGAACTGCCGCTCACTGGATGTTTTTTCTTTTTCCGACTATTCTCTGTAAACATTAGAGATGTTTGAAAGTCACTCAAATCACCTTTCTTCCCCATACTGATGCACGGTTTGAACTGCAGGAGATTGTCTTGACCATGTCTACATGCCTAAATGCACTGAGTTTCCGCCATGTGATTGGCTGCTTAGAAATTAAGTGTTAACGAGCAGTTGGACAGGTGTACCTAATAAAGTGACCGGTGAGTGTATATATATATATATATATGTGTGTGTGTGTATATATCTTTTTTTCTCTTCAGTGATACATAACAGCAAACTTGAACTTACAATATTTACTGTTACTCATAGCATCAATTATTGATGGGTAATGTTCTGTGGATGAAAGCCATAAGCAGTTGGAGCCACAGTAATGTGTATCTCATTTCAAGTCCCACAGACACATCTTGTTTTCAATACCAAGACTTTATGGCAGTTTTATTTTTTTGGCTCACTGTCTACAAACAGCCCTGTAGCAAAGGAGAAGAAGAGAAAAGTGTTAGCACAGTGACCCTGGAAATATAACAGTGGGACTATTCTGTTTAGAGCAACAGGAACTCGCCGGTCTGAACCACTGGGTCCTCAGCCACTGTATCAATACTGCAGTAAAGTTATTTAATTTTACATCTGTATTGCATGGTTCTCCTAAGCATTACACAAACTGCCCAAACCTTTTCATCATAAACCCACTGGCCAGGGGCAACAAATCAATCCAGGACATTCCTTGTAGAAACTATTAATTGTATGATGGTTGTTTTTTTTTTTTTTTTTTTGGTTGCCTCATAAAAGGTCTTGCAGTGATGCTTATGACCTTATATTTCTTAGGAACATTTGCGTGACTTAAAGCCAAGTGGATGTACTCTCCTGTATGATGCACTTAGACGAGGAGCTCGTGAGCTTGAAAAAGTCAAGGAGAGATTCCCAGAATGCAGACTTCGTATAATATGCCTCACGGATGGAAACGACTCTGGGTAAGATCTACCTCTGCTTTAATTCAAAATGAGGGGGGAAAAAAGCATTTTAATAATTACACCTGTTGAGTAGAGTACATATAACAACCTTAAATAACTGCATATGGACTTTCAATTTAAGGATCAGTTTGCAGTACTTGCATATAACTGAACAAATACTTGGAGGTTTCACATTAATTCTTTGGGAAATTGTAACCAATGAGAAACCGGTTCATACAGGCCAAGGCTAATTTCCATATAATTTTCCATGATTTTAAACAAGATTTCTTTTAGGTGTTGCCTGAAAACACGAGAGGGAACAAGCTTACAAAGCTTTATCATCAACTGGGTTTTCCTAAGTAGTTGAAAGACAGTAAATGTTGCCTCTGAATAAGATCAAGAAAGTACAACCATGACAACATACCAGTTAGGAAATTTTGTCAATGTTCACTAACCCATAACAGAAAAATATTTGGCATGGTTTAACCTCAGCAAGGGGAAAGTTTTTAACATTTTTGTAAATGTGCAGTTGTCCACAGTACAGCTTAGAAGAAATTGGTAATCTTCATTTTGTTTTTGTCTGGGGTGCCACGAAACCTTCTTTTTTTTTTTTCTCAATCTTCTTAGGTCCCTGATGGAGCCAGTACCCATGACAGTGAAACTTCTTGAATCTGACATCATTGTCGATTCAATCCTCCTTGGAAATGTGGAGAACAGCATGCTGCACGGGATCAGCAATGCAACAGGTTTGTTTTTTGTTGCTGTTTTTTTTTTTTTTTTTTTTTTGAGACAGTTTAATTTGCTTGAGGCTTCAATGATTCGTCTACATTGTTTGTTTTTTAGCAGATGCTTTTATCCAAAGTGAATTACAAAGTAGACGCAATGTTAGTTATCATCAATGTGACAAAAACTTCTCTAGAGGAAAATCCTTTGTTAGAATCAGTGGTGATGGCAAAGAGAGAGAGGGAAGTAAAGAAAGAATAATAGAGGTGTACAGAGGTATGGGTAAGAGTTTGGATAGGAGATTCTCTTTGAAGAGGTGGGACTCTAGGAGTTTCCTGAAGATAGACAGGGATGCTGCTGTTCTTGTAACACTTGGTAGGTCATTCCACCATCTTGGAACCACACATGAAAACAATCTGGATTGTCTTTTTTTTTTTTTTTATATTTTATTTAGTCAACTGTCAACAACAATACAATGATCACAGGGACAAAGTAAACATGACATTTTTTTTTTTAATCCCTTCTCCCCTCCTTCCCACTCCCCATCCTGTGGTCCCTTCCTTTACCTTCCATTTATTCTGTCACCTACCCCTCCCCATCCATCCATACCCGGCTGCAAAAAAAAAAAATAAATAAATAAAAAAATAAAAAAAACAGTTATACAGCTGAGGAATCACAATCATAACAAAACCCAGGGGACCAAGACAGGGTACAGAAACATGGACAGCATGTAAAACAGGCGTCTGCGCAAGCGTAGGTACACAGATCAAGACAGAACATGGATATTTAAAACTGCACAGGTTGACAATCACTATCGCTAGCCAGATTCACAAGGAGCCGCCGGGCCAGGGGGACAGGCAATTACAACAGAGCTGGTTCCTATGCGTTTTTCAGGCTCGAGGGAGGGTATCCAGTCTTTCAAAATAAGATAGTATAGGGGCCCAAGTTTTATAAAATTTTTGGGTCGAACCTCTAAGACAAAATTTTATCTTCTCTAACTTAAGGAACATGGACAGATCTTTCAACCACAGAGAAGCCTTGGGTGGGTGTTCTGATTTCCACGCTAATAATATTCTTCTTCGGGCGAGGAGAGTTGAAAAAGCTAGTACATTTTTAAAATCATGTGTTAATGATATCCCCTCCCCTGGAGTTCCAAATATTGCCAATTCAGCACTGGGTTGGATACCTGTTTCGAAAGCTTCAGATAGGATCTGAAAAATTGTGGACCAGAAGTTACACAGTTTGTTACAGGTCCAGAACATGTGAGTTAGATTTGCCTTAGCTATGTGGCACCGAGCACAGTTTTCACTCACTGTAGAATAAATCCTTGAGAGTCTAGCTCTACTGTAATGGATCCTATGAAGGACCTTGAACTGAATTAGTCCAAGTCGAGCGCATGATGTTGACCCATTTACTCTACGTAATGCTTGGTTCCAAGTTTCATCCAAGATGTGTATTCCAATTTCCTCTGACCATTCTGCTTTGATCTCATTGAGCTTCACAGTATTAAGTGATGAGATGCTATTATAAATTTTGGAGATTAAGCCCCTATCTTGTGTTGGAGTTTGCAAGATTATGTCTATACCTCCCTTTGGGGGTAAATTAGGAAAACAGGGACTATTGTTACGAACACAGTCACGGATCTGGAGGTATCGAAATAGGGAGGAACGTTGTAGGCTAAATTTAGAGGAAATAGCATCAAAGGTAGCAAAAATTCCATCTATATATAGGTCACTAAATTTATTTAAGCCTGCTCTCCGCCAGTGGGCAAAGACAGGATCTGATAAGGATGGCGGAAAAACATGGTTATCACATATGGGACTGTAGATAGAGAAGTTTTTCATATTGAAGTGTTGTCTAAATTGTGACCATATTTTTAGGGTTGAAATTACAACTGGGTATGACGAATGCTGCCTCGGAGAGAGAGGAAGCTTTGAGGTAACTAATGCAGGGAATGATGATGGCTTACACGTGTTCAGTTCTAATTGACACCAGTCAGCATCTGGTTGATGGAGTAAACAGACTATTTTTTGTAGGTTTGCTGCCCAGTAATAATACAACAGATTAGGTAGAGCCATACCCCCCTCATCCTTATGTCTCTGAAGGAAGCGCCTGCTGATTCTAGGATGTTTATTAACCCACATGAATGAGGATAGTTGTTTATCGATAAGTCTGAAGAATGATTTTGGGAGAAAAACTGGGATACTCTGAAAGAAATACATAAATCTTGGCAAGACGTTCATTTTAATACATGCTACTTTACCCGCTAAAGATAAATTTAGGACACTCCACTTCTGGAGGTCGCGTTTGAGATTATTAAGCAGAGGGGAGAGATTTTTTTCAAACAGATCAGAAAAAGAACCTGTCACGTTAACTCCCAGATATTTGAATCCTGCTCTAGCAAGCGGGAAGGGTAGGTCAGTTTCTGTAATTTGGAGCGCAGAATTATTAATTGGAAAACATTCACTCTTTGAGAAGTTCAACTTGTATCCTGAGAATTTACCAAAACGGTTTAGTAAACTCACAATGTTGGAGATAGATGATACTGGGTCCGAGATGTAGAGTAATAGGTCGTCCGCATACAGGGACAGCCGATGTTCCAGCTGTTTTCTACAAATTCCCTTAAAACTCTGTGAAGTCTTGAGCATAATTGAGAGTGGCTCAATAGCTAAAACGAAGAGGAGTGGGCTGAGGGGACAACCCTGCCGGGTACCCCTGGATAAAGAAAAGAGCCCAGACCTTGTTTTGTTAGTGATTATACTCGCTTTGGGTGAAGTATACAACAGTTGTACCCATGCTGTAAATTTGGACCCAAATCCAAACCTAGCTAGTACCGCAAATAGGTAAGGCCACTCAACCCGGTCAAATGCCTTCTCCGCATCGAGGGAGACCACAACCTCAGGATGCTCCCCCGATTCAGGAGAATGGACAACACTAATAAGCCTACGTATATTAGAGAAAGAGTGACGACCCCTCATAAACCCAGTCTGATCTGAGGAGATTATGTCAGCCATGGCTGCGTCCAGTCTCATAGCCAAAAGTTTAGCTAAGATTTTAACGTCACCATTTAGAAGTGATATGGGCCTGTATGAAGCGCAGTCTGTTGGATTTTTACCATGTTTTAGTAAGAGTATGATGTTAGCTTCTGTAAGAGTCTGTGGCAAGGTTCCCCGCTCCAGTGAGTAGTTAAACATTTCAAGTAAAAGAGGTGCTAACTTGGATGAGAATTTTTTATAGAATTCGATTGGATAGCCATCTGGTCCAGGGGCCTTGCCACTCTGCATTGCTGAAATAGAATTGATAACCTCACTAAGTGTAAGGGGCTTATCCAAATCCCTCTTCCTATCAGGACCAATAACAGGGATATCCAAGCTCTTTAAGAAATTATTCATATCCGAGTTGTCCTCTGGGAATTGTGACGTATATAGATCAGAATAAAATTTCTGAAAGACCTGGTTTATTTCAGCTGGATCAATAGTTTGCTCATCAGGGGTCTTTTGGATCTGTGATATGAGCTGCGCCGCTGACCGGCTCTTGAGTTGGTGGGCCAGGAGGCGGCCTGCCCTCTCACCATGTTCATATATAAATCCACGAGATCTAAGCAAGGATTGTTCCACATCCTGCGTTGATATGAGATTATATTGCATTTGCAAACAAAGTCTGTCTTTGTACAGCTCGGGGGAGGGTGACATTGAATGTCTACGGTCCAGCTCCAGCATAGAACTGAGAAGCTGTTCCTGCCTTAATCTTCTAATTTTGTTACGTGTTGCCGTGTAAGATATTATCTCACCTCTAATTACCACTTTTAATGTTTCCCACAGGATGGATGGCGAGACAGAATCTGATTTGTTTTCGACCAAAAAATTATCTATGGCAGTAGACATCGATACACAAAAATTGTCATCTGCTAACAACGTTGAGTCAAATCTCCAGATGGGCCGCTGAGCCTGATTAAGTGGAAAGGCTAAGTCCAGTATTACTGGTGAATGATCAGACACTACAATAGCAGAGTATTCACTTTTCTTGACAAAGGGTAGCAGAGTTTTGTCTACAAAAAAGCAATCAATCCTTGAATACGACTGGTGGACAGGTGAAAAAAAGGAGAATTCCCTACGATTTGGAAACAAAAGGCGCCAAGGATCTATACAACCTGCTTCCTTCATGAATGCTGCTAAGGCCTGAGCCATCTTTGATGGAGATGACAATCTAGAGCTGGAACGGTCTAGGGTCGGATCCATAACACAGTTAATGTCCCCACCCAATATCAAACGGTGAGAATTCATGTTAGGTAGAGCAGAGATTAACCTGGATATAAAAGAGGGGTCATCCCAATTGGGAGCATATATGCAAGCAAGTGTAACTTGTGTATTATACAGGGAACCAGAAACTATAACATATCGGCCCTGTGGATCTGATATGGACGAGCTTAAAGTGAACTGTATGTTTTTATGAATCAATATTGCTGTTCCCCTCGCTTTAGTATTAAATTGTGAATGGTAAACTTGTCCCACCCAAGGCTTCTTAAGTTTTATATGGTCTGCAGAGACCAAATGAGTTTCCTGTAGAAATGCTATTTCTGTTTTAAGTTTTTTAAGGTGGGAAAAAATTTTGGCCCGTTTCACTAATCCTCTCATGCCCTTTACATTCCAGCTAGTAAAGCGAACTGCTGAGGCGTCCACTCTTACACTGTTGTTACATACATTAGCCATAATAATCCAATTTTATACCTGTCCCGGCCCAGCAGCTCCACCTGGCACCCCCACGGATGCATGTCTTCCTATGCATGTTCAAATTTTTAAGAAAAATAAAATAGAAAAAACAACACAAAACAGCTGTATGAATGAAAAAGGCAGCCCTGAACCCAACCCTTTTTAGAACCCACCCCAGTTGTATCCTTGCTTCTCTTGTTGAAGCCGACTGCTGTCCCATAAACACCTCGTAGGTCTTCCGATAGGCCTTACACATCCCCAAATTAACTTTGGAAGGTTCCCGATAAACTTGGTATTAAGGAGTTACACTCTTT